TTTGTTAAAAGTGTATAAATTATATTTTTCTATTATTTATATAAGCCATGATTTTATTCTTATCATCAAGCCTAAAGATAAAAGATTGAAGAGTAAGAATTAATTATGAAACTCTCTAGATTCAAAGAATTGTCATTATTCTCCCTTATCGCCAACACTCCCATCCAACTACCCTTCCACACCCACACAATTTTATGGGAAAAGAATAAAAATTCAAGTAAATTATTTATGGGAAAATTTTGTTGAAATAATGTAGTGATACTACAATGCCACTTATACATCAATATTCTTTGCATTTGGTATAAAAAAGTATTTTTCATGTTAGATTGATTTTTGGAAATACAAGTAAATAATTTATGGAATTTTCGTTGAAATAATTAGGTGATGCTACAATGCCACTTATACACGTACATCAATATCATGTGTATTTGGTATAAAATGTTTTTTATTTTTTATTTTTATATTTTTTATATGATGGTAGATTGTTTTATGGAATACGTATTGTTATGTTAGTATGTATATTCATGCTCTTATAAAAGAGTATACTTGTATTAATTTTAATTGACATAGTAATAGCTTATAAATAATAGCATGTGAAGTAAAGTGTATGTATTGAAATTTTGGATTTGAAATTTCTTTATATACTCAATTGATGCCTTTATTGGCCAGATTATATTAATAACTTGAAAAGATTTACTCGTAATAATTTAATATGAATTTAGAAAAGTTTAAAATAAATAAGTTTAGGGTTATTAAATGAATTACGGGACCATATATATCATTGTACACTAGTTTTTAGGCTTGGGTGATGCCCCGGGTTACTGCATTATTTCCATGATAGAAATCCTTATTAATATTTAATTTTGATAGAATGACAAATAATATGGTAATAGCTTAGTGGCTAACGTGTTGGAGTTTAAGCTGAAGGTTGTGGATTTGAATCTTGTAAGATATTCATATTTTTGAACATATGGAATGAAAAACTTGGTTGAATGAGGAGAGCGCCACGTAGCACCTAAACTTGTTTATGACTAGTATTAAGAATATTATTAAGAAACGCATTTTCATTTTTAATGCCATCACAAATGTCACTTAAACATACACTATCCTTTAATAGTATAAAAACAAAACTATATTTATTATCGGTAATAATTGACGTGAAAGCTTCAAATTCTAGTTAAGAGATCATTACATTAACAATGTACTAATCCACTTATAATTGAGATATAAAAAGCGAGTAGAGACAAAAAAGAATAATTAAGAACTTCCTACAATTCGTTTCATAAACCCTTATTAAAATGTTCCGAATTGTTTTAGCTAGCTAGAGGGTTACGATCATACCACAAGTCCACAAGTATGCCTTAGTTTATAATGTATAGGACCACAATGGCCCCATAACGTTGACGTGGTTCTTATGTTATACTCTAATTTGAAGCAATATTTTCTTTATAAAATAAAATTAAATAGGTGGTTGGATGTATTTTTGACAAAGGAACAGATTCAATACAAGTATATTATTTTCTCTCTTTCTCAAATCTCAATCTCCCTTATTGCTTATGTCTTGATCTCAAAGATTTACCGGACCACAAGCATGTGATTCTGTACTGCCTTTGATATAATTGAAGAGAGAAACACTTCATAATTATATGTGTGTTTTTATTCTTCTTCCCTCTTCTACCCTTATTAGCTTTATTTTTTGGAGTAAATATCAAGTTATTAAAGCATTCTTTTTCAAGCATTATAATTTTTGGTCCTAACTCCTAAGTTTTCAATCAATAATATACTACTTTATGGAACATAACACCAAATATCCCAACCACTAAGGGAAAGATGTTAATCAAATCTTATTACACGTACTTCATTCGTATCTTTCTAGGAGTATTTGTGTTGTTGTATAATGAGCAGCGTCACATGACAATTATGTAGATGAATATCGATCTTACGTCTTGAATACATAGTTATAATTTAGCTTAGCCAACATCCATGTACCGACTAAAGATTTACAATTAGTGTGCTACTTTTGAGATATGCAAGCTACTACGGAGTAAGAATCATTATACTCAGTATTGAAATTAATTCTACACTTCAAACTTTAAGGTGCTTAAGTAAGTAGGTAAATTTTGTGATTTGAACTAGATATAAGATGATGACTAATTAAATGAGATCTATGTATGAAACTATGTTCAGTGTTTCTTCAAGCATGGAAAAAAATTGCCTGAGATAATATTATCACGTTCATACTAGATCAACCTAAACTAGTAGCTCATAGATTATTGAGGTATTGAAACTATTGATAGATTGATAAGCTAAAAGTAAAGAAGAAGAGGCTTATAGTAGTCTTAAGCTATGCTTGACAACTTTTTCAATACACTCTTACAAGGTACATAGTACATTAGTACCATTCCATAATATATATCAAAATGACACTAAAGTGAAATTATAGCTAAACAACCTTAGACAATAAAACGAAAATTTTTCTGAAAAACAAAGTGGGCATTAGTGACATTACACTCAACCAATCTATCCCCTCTTCAAAAGAAAAAGAGTGTGTTAGATGCAAGTCATGCAAGTGGCTAAGATAAAAGCCATACAAGGTCGCTATAACCCACCTTATGCTTGTAATAGTGTGATTTTGCTAACTAAATAATGCTAAAGAGTGAAGTGTTTGTTTTCACTTTAACATAATTAAGGGTCAAATTTTAGGTCCACCTTCTTACATGATAGTGACTATTCAAACCCAAAAAAAAAAAAGATCAATTTTAGTGATTAGTGACATACAACCAACCAAATTAAATGAGTTGTAGTATATGATTAATAAGCCATGAAAAATATGTATCATCCCCCATTATTTTTTAGTAAAGTTAAATTTCACTATTTCAGGCTAATAATACAATGTCTAATAAAAATGAAATAATTTTTGCAATTTTCACTACATCGTTTAAGAAATGATTTTACTAGGTTGGGTTTTTGAGTCGGGTTAATTTTTCCAAGCCTAATATTAACACATAATTTTACGAGATAATTATTATAAAATACCTGGGAATTCAATTTCAAACACTATTGATGATTGACGAACATCTACTAGTATGTTTGGAAGGACAAGATGAACAAAGTTTCCTTTGGGTCTGGGTTAATTACTGGCAGTAGCTTGTGAATATGGACCCTCTTCAATTGTATGTGATTAATACATCAGTGTGTTACCCATGAAGGAAACAGCTGGATGTTCATGAACAAAAAGTTAATTTGTGCATTCAACAATCGAACCCGTTTCGAAAACGAAAGCCTTAATAATGTAGCCAAATACTTCTCTTCCATGATCCCAGGGTGAAGAAAACTATGGCCATTTTTCTTGTGACTTGTGGCCCTAGCTAGGGTGCTTCATTACCCTGCTAGTCCCACAGCCATGAATTATATATCGGCTTGGCGCGCTGGCTGGGAATCTTATGTTGCCCTGGTATGGACAATAGCTAGAGGTTGAATTTTTGAGTGTCCTTGGTTACATAGCGCCAATGTACGCAGATGACCCGAGCGCCCTACGTATCAATTGAATAATTGTCTTTTTACTAGGTAAGGTGATAATCTGAGCACCTATGTCCCTTAAAATGCAACAAACGCCTAAGATTTCCTTGATTCATATGAACACTTATTAAGAGAAAACAAGTACAGGAATAAGGAATAAGTGGTGTAGGCTTGAATTAGTCACTTGATGAATCTAATGGTTACAGCTATTTTCCATGAAAGTTGATCCAAGTAATTTAAGCTCTTTCTACACCTGGACACCTTGTAACATGAACGAAAGGTTGACAATTTCACCTCTAGAACTAGGTTTTTCGTCATCCAAAATTGCACTCCAATAAATTACATTATGCGGTTTTTGTCTTGGAGAATAGTTGGATGCATGGATTATTCAAATCAAGTTCCGGCAAAGTATAGAGAAAATGAGCCATAAAATGTCATTTTGAGCTAACACCAACATCCCAACAACAACCCATGAAATGGACTACAATAAGTTATATTATGCCTTTTTTAAAAAAAAAAAAAAAAACTATATTATGCCCTAGTGAAAAAGGTTCCTAACAGTATAGCCATACACCATACCTAAAAACTTTTTCCAAGTGCTCTGATTTTGGGTTTTTGGGCTTTTGGGCCTAGAGAAAAAGGTAACTACTGAGTGAATTTTGACTTAAGAGGTACTCTGTACCCAAAATGCCCGCAATGCCTTGGAGAACTCAATTGGCCATAACTCAAGGAAAGCCCAATCTGAGGCCATCATTGTGAATTTAATTGGCTCATTGCAAATATCCTCTCCGACCACCTACACATATAAATCAATCCGACAAACTTGGAACTAATATATTTGTTCTATGATTAATTTCACTCCATTTAACCTATAAACTTCAAAGCATTCACAGCAATGCTCAAACCGAGTGACTTATATGTCCATACAGACTCCCATCCTGTCTTTTACAGAGTACTCGCTATGGGAGTGAAAGAGTTTTACTAGATAGGAATGAAAGGAGCGACTGAGACCCGAACACTTGAATTTCACCGCGGATACCATGTCCTTATACCTATGTCAGCAGTCCACCAGCAGTAAGCAAATGTTTTTAGCCTTGTGGACAGCTGCTTCTGATATCTATTTCTTGGAAGGTTTTGTATGCATAAATTGAATGATATAATGAATGAGAACAGTTCACAGTTCCATTTAATATGAGTTTGAAGGACCAGATACTAACTTTGGGCGATATCAGTCAGAACATATTGTCTGATACACAAGAAAATAGGCAGAAACAGACAATTGAACATTTCACCCGATTAAAACTCAATGTAAACACAATTTTACACAGGAAGAATCATACTGATGTATGAATGCTGTTACTGAATATCATGATTTGAAACAATCTGAAATGCAATCTAGGTAATGCAATCTCTCAGAAACTAAAGTTTGACAAGCAGAACCAAGAGTACAATAGGGAGGGGTTACAAGGACAACCACCATGGATAAAAGAATGTCAAGAATCTGTAACTTCAATATATATAATCAGTGGATACATCAAATGGTTTTTGCACTTGTACTCACGTTACATACACTACTAGTGTGACAACATAAACTACCTAAGTACCTAGCTTACAATACAAACATATACTTTTAGAGAAAACAGTACAGAAACACAGATATTACAATACAAACAGACACTTTCAGCAAAAACAGTACAGAAACACAGATAATACAATACCAACATCGAAGTTGATCCATCGTTGGTTAGGAAGCACAAGATATCAGCACAAAATTGACTAATTCAGCATCCAATTTGAAAGCTGCACCTCACTACTTTCTAAGTCACACCACCAAAAGCACCACAACACTCTGAAAAGAGCATGACAAAAAAAAAATGCACTCTTTTCAGTTTTCACAATTCAAATTCATCTCCTTCCATCTTCAACATCTCAGCAGCAGCCTCTTCTTCCTCATCATCAATAGCAAAGTACGGATTACACGACTTTGGCCTGAAATTATACCCCGTAAACAAATAAAACGCAAGGGTACCCAATTCACCCGCGACCACACTAGTCCACTGATACCGATAATTTGTGATTGTCTCCAACCCATAAACAATCACCCTTGTAAAATAGATATAACAAATCACCACAACATAGTAATGCCTAAACAATGTCAGCTTCATCAAGTTAACCGCGGCCTTCCCATCAGTAGTAGCAGCCTCCCTAAGATTCCTAATCGACCAAACGATGGGCAACAACACGGCACAACAACAAACAATATCGACGAACAAAAACACTTGCATCCAAGCGTATGACTCCCCACCATACGGCCCGGTCTCATCAATGACAACCTGAGCTACATTAGCAACTACTTGAAGTGGGATCACAATCATTAAAACCTTCTTCTCCTTATCTTGTAAAAAGGGTTTCAAAAATGACCAACCAGTTCCAATTAACACAATCAAAGTAAACAAAGTAATACCCTTTAAAAAGCTAAAAATGTAGAACAAAACATCCCAACCATGAGCACTTCCAGTTTTTTTAATATAAGATTTATCTTCAGCTTCACACAACAAATTCAATCCTTTCAATACAAGAACAGCAAGCATAAAGTAATGAATTCGATAAATTACTTCTCTTTTCGAGAAAAGGGTATAAACCCAGATCAAAATTAGGGCAAAGTAAATCAGGGCAAAATTGAAGTAAATTGAAGGAAGATTAGACTTACCTGCTGAAAGATAATCACGAATTAATGACGATTTACCTTCTAAATTATACATAGAAGAATGAACATCCATTGAAACATGAAGATTAGGGATACAATTAGCGAAAACTAGGGTATAAAGATTCGGGTTGGATATTTGAAGAGAGACATTAAAACGGGTAATTCCGCCATTGTTGAGACGATCAAAGGAAAAAACGGGTTTAATAAGATCCGATTGAAGGGCACAAACGATGTCGTTTTGATTGAGTTGATCGACAACATGGTACCAAGAATCGCGAGTAGAGAGGAAGAATCCGACAAGGGAGAGATCGTTGGGTTTAGGGTTCGTGAGAAGGGTAGTTTGGTCATTTTTATGGAGTCGGAGAGAGAGGAGGGGGACGTTGAGGTCGAGTTTTCCGGTGTGAGTGAACCCGAATTCGTCGAATGGGATGATGGGTCGTGAGTCGGATCGGATTTCGGCGAGGGTTAGGGTTAGGGTTAGGAGGAGGGAGAAAGTGAGAAGGATATGAGTGTGATTTGAGGAAATCGCCATTGTTGTGAGAGGAGAAGCTCACTGCAACAGCAGTAGTTGAGCTAGTTGAATCGTGGAGACTTTGTTTTCTGTTGTTTTTATTTTTTGCCGCAGGAAATTATTAGTGGTCAAATTTTGGTCAAATCACTCAAATGCAGTTACTATTTAATTCATTCATTTATGAATAATTGACGCATTTAAACTTGACACTTAAAAAATCAGAAAAAGTATCTTAAAATACTACAAAGTACGTATTTTTTTAAGTTATCAATTATTCATAATCTAGAAGCTATACATAGTTAAAATTAATGTTGATACTTCATACTTATTTTAATTGTTGCCAATTATTTTATTGCTTAAGAGATGTTGATTAAGGTTTAGACAATGAGTTATTGTCTTTGTCTCATTGCTTCCATCTTGATTAAAAAGCTTTATTCAATTGATTTTAAATACGAGTTAAGCATATATTAAAACTACATTGTTTGATGTCTCAGTTTTGATTCCAAGTATTCATATCCCCCCTCTTTCAAGTTCCTTCCTACTTCAGAGCATCCAAATTTTAATGTTTGAAGGAATTTCAGTTTATCTATAATACAAATTCCAGGCACAATATTCGTTGGATTTGTCTTCTGTATTAGTGTATTACAGACTAGAAGAATCACCGAGCTCTGCAGCTCTTCTATACAAAGCAATCTTATCTTCTCTTCTGCCCATTTCCCAACAAACCATGCCCGCATCCAATCATCCATCATAGCTAGGCTCAAACCATATACCGCACCTTACCAAGAAATGGAGTCCAATACGTTCTATAAGTTGGCCCGAACTCCAGCACATCCATGTTTCACCCTGCTATCTTGATAATAATGGCATAAGCCAAAGCTTAGAAATAGAGTTTATGTGAAGGTTTTTTTTACTGCCAAAACTGTGTCATGGTATAGTTGGTTATCACGTCATATACAGTGATACACACAGAAGGTCTCCGGTTCGAGTCTGGGCGACGCCATCTGCCAGTTATGAGTCTCGAAGTTGCATAAACAATAGAGTACATCCGCAACTCTCCAGCATAGACTATAGTTTTGTTAGCACATTAAAATGGTAAATTGGACAAGATGCAATTTTTCTTTAAAAAAAACTGCTGTCAATGACAGCCTCTGACAGTTGATACATAAGTGTAAAAATAAAGCACAACCAACTCCATGACAATAAACACAACTGCCTGATTAACAAAGAGAAAATAGGTCATGATTATTATTTATACTTCAGGGGAAAAAACAACCCTTCTATGAACCTCGTTTTGACATGGTATTCAAGAAAAATTGCTGCATCTGACAGTGTACAACTTCAGAATCAGTCAAAAATCTATACGACGTCTATTCTGTTGTTTCCACTTCTTGCTGAGGAGTTTCAGGTTGTTTTAACTTCTCCAGAGCAGAGACACGCGTATCCAGAGAATCGTGAAGACGTTTCATCTAAAGAAGCAAAAGAAAGAGTAAGAGTACGAACTTGCATTTAAATAAACTACGGAGTAACTTTTCCACAAAATTACAGCTGCGAAATTATCAAAAGGCTTTGGCTAAAAGAGAATGTCCATAACGCCCCCCTTCTGAAGAACTGCTCTAAAAGTCATCTAGGAAATCAGCTTGACTCCAGTATGTACAACATGTACTAAGCATTTTCTTTCACCATAAGAAATCAAAGTAGGTCAGCTAACATTGGCTATCCATATCTGGCTGTTACAGCCTTGCAGAGCAGAGAGAGGTGAACAAGCAAAGAAAAGGGAGAGGGCGGAGTCTCCTTGTGCTGAAGAATGATTCATAGAGGCCATCTCACAGGCTTTGATATTAATTAAAAGATTTTTTGAAAAGTAGTGGAGTTTACATAGCCATCAACACTAAATGGGTATCTGTGACCAAATTTCTCCATCAAAAGCCAATTTCAGAATAATTGAAGTTCAGGGAAGCTTCAGAGAAACAAATTTAGCAGGTCCTGTGAACTACATATCCCTTCTTGTTCTCGTAATACTTCTCAAAAGTGATTCTAGACAACAAATAAAGCAAAGTAATGTTCTTTTTTTTTTTTTGGTGACAGAAGGAGTGCTAGAAGGAAGAAAGAGTAAAGATGCCCATATAGTCTTCATTCTCCTTAGGAAGTGCCACATACATCTAACACAATATCAGGGAATATCATCTATTTTCCTATCAATAATAACAATTCATGATATCTACCTGAAATTAGACCAGATTTAAATATTATAGAGAATCATAGAATTTGTTTCATACAGTACATTAATAAATAATGGATCATTGCTCTATTGAAAGAAGCCAAGCAGACTCAAAAAATTTCTGTGGCAGCAGATAATCTACTAAGTGACTCAGATCAAGAAGGTTTAACATGCACAAGCATCAAGTAGAAATCACACATCAAGGCATCAATAACATTACAGCAAGTATACACTTGAAGCACAAAACATGTTAAAATTTATAAAATCATAAGTTTATCACAGAATTATGCCAATTGATCACTTAAAAGGATAAAACGTACAAAATCAGGAAAATAAAGGTTGCCAATAAGTAAAAGCTACAGATAATACAATACAAAAATCAAAACTGAGCTCCACAAGCAGTTGAAACCTAGAAGAATCATATCAAAAGTTAATTAATCATCTTCTAGTAACAAGTGCAAATATTCACAACTAATTACAGCAAGAATATCACAACTCATAAATATAGTAAACTAACTTAATACTACTTCTATAAAACAAACTCAATAAAGCAATCATCTGACAAGAAATCAAAAAAATCCAGCAACTAATAAAGCACATGTTCTCCCAATTCACATGCAAGGTAAGAAGGCATTAATGTCCAAAAAAAAAAGTATAGCAAGGAAGAAAGAGCATGACAATTTCAAATATGGCTGATGAAGTGAAAGTATGTATGGATAATAATTTATTCTGTTTGAATGTAGATAGCTTTAAAACTCAGAGAGATAGAGCAATATAAAGCAGCCACCCATGATATGTCACTAAAGGAATGTGCTTGAAAATATTTGATTGCCTTGACACGTGAGAATGCGAGATATATACTTGCCAAATGACAAACTAAGTAACGATTTTATTTTATTTTTAATTGGGGGGATGATAAAACTTCAAATATGTCTGATGGTAGACAGGTAGAGAAATTTAGCAATCTACTTTGAACCATGTTATGTTCCAAGGAGTTGGAGCCATTGCGCTTAGAATCAGCCCAGAACAGAGCTTGGACAAGACAGTACAAGGAGCATAAAAAGGATTTTGACTGCACCTTCCACCTTCCTTCATTAATCAATTGACTGCACCCTCCATGTTTCCATCAGCGATAAAATCTAAGAAGGTGTCAATTAAGTGAGCTCCTTGTTCCAAGTTCACATATTCTAGGCTAAATAAGACCTGAGATGGGAATGCAAGAGTTGCTTTCTTATTCTTCCTCAATAGCTGCCAGACGAACCTACCTACCTAGGCAATATGGTCAATTACTGCAAGAACCTCCCCTTTATTTCCTTATGAAATAGAGGTCACAATCACCCCAAAAGATTGAAGACCTCAATGTCCACAATTCAAAAAGATCCCCCCTTGTCAGCCCTATTGTTGGCCCAACAAGACATGAGCTCCTAAATCCTACAAATTCCTCTGCTAAAAGTATTAGTCTTCAACCTTAGCAACTCATCTACTACTCTAACTCAAAATCCCTCAACTGAACAATCCATCCGACAATCAACGTGCTTTCGAGGGTCAAAATGTAGGTTGCCTTAACCCTAACCAGTCCAAAATCTAGTAATGAGATTGTTTCTGAAAATATAACCCCCTTTAACCTACTCCATATCTGTAAATCAACTAACCAGCTTCGGAACTAAGTATAAGAGCAACAAGTTCTATTTTTCCTTATCCTTTGAACAATGTCTGTCTAGTACAACAACAATACTCCCAACAAATCATATACCCATTTCAATTAAATAAAAACCCCAAAAACCAATAATTAAACAAAATCTCCCAAATAAACAGACTATTAGTCAAAATCTTACAATTTCAACTTCAAATAAAAAAATGGGCAATTCCCATTTCCCAATTTAGGGCAATTAATTCATAGATCAAACATAAGCTGGACATTTGTTCCATAATTACAATCAAAACCCATCAAAAAAAATAATATACATTAATCTCAAAATTATAAAGGGTACCCAAAAATTCAATCAATTATTAAAATTGATGAAAGAGATGAGAAATAAAAAGAAAAACCTGGTCAGAGATGGAATGATGGGCAAGCTTGTAATCTTTGTAAAGGATGTAAAGACCAGCAGATGAAGCTACTGCTGCGCCCGCAAAGAATGAAGCCAGCCTTACTCTAAGAACGTATCCCATGATTTTCTCTCTCCTCTTTACTTTCTCTCTCTACTGGTTTTTATTTTCTGGGTTATTTCAGCCTAATCAAATGTTTTATGAGGCGTTTTTGAGTTCCGCCATTGTTCGATTTAATTTCGATTTCTCCTACTAGTATTCTCCTTATTAGAGACAGACGTGTTCTAACGACGTCGTTTCACCTTTTTTTAATTTCTCTTTTTCATAAGATTTTTTTTTTCTTCCCTTTTAAAGTGCTTTGGGCTATTTTGATTCATTCTAGTTTAGGAATAAATAGTGTAGTGTTGAATATTTGAGCATGGAAATTTTGCCAAAAAAATACACCTTTAAGCGAGGCTTATTTTTTCAATAACACCTATTAAAAATCAAAACAATTCCTTCATTCCTCTATTCAAAAACCTACAGAGTACTACGTTCATGGGATGCTAGTATAAGGAACTCGGAAATTTTTTTTATGCTTTGTTGATAATATAATACTTCATAGTTTACAAGCTTGCTAGTCAAGATCGGGAACCTATTTTGGAACGATGAGGGGGTAGGATCAGAATGCATTTGTTCTCCTTTTTTATTTCCTCAAGATTGAGTGGATTAACCAAGAAGTACAAGCATTAGTTTTTAGTCTTACTAGGAAAACTCATGGTTGATACTCTCAGCAACAACCAACAGGGTAATTAGTAGTTAGCAACAACATTCAACTGAGCAAGTGAATCTATGAACAACATTGTTATGCATACATGACATTTTTCATTTTTGTTCAGGCTGCAACATACAAAAGGACAGGCATAAACCGTCTTAGATTTATATATATATATATATATATATATATATATATATATATATATATATATATATATATATATATATATATATATATATATATATATATATATATATATATATATATATATATATATATATATATATATCTATTAGTTGAAGCATTGACATACATCTAACCCATCTCATTTAATGCAGGCATACGGGGCATAACCACCTGCAATCAGCTGATGTATAAGGGAAACCCTTCTATGCAAAATTATTGAACTTGGCAAAGCAAACCAAATTCTTCTATTTGAAATCAGTGAAACCTGCTGGGTTGAAAACTAGTGTAAAGTATTTCATATCTTTGGATAGCAAAATTTTCACCATAAGCACCCAAGCAGATCCATGATTCTCTCAGCGAGCACCTTGTTACATCACTTCCCATGATCATCACCAGGACCGGCATCGGAACCATCTTGTCTGTTACGTGCATCCATCAACTGTGTTGGAGCTCCGAAACCAGTGTGGGAAGCAGGGCGTAAACCATTGTTTCCACCCATTCTCATGCCCATGGAACCTGCCATAGTTTGTTGGTATTGCATATGGGGTGACTGCTGATCAAACACCTGCATGGCAAAGGGCATTCTAGGACCTGCTTGCTGTGGACTAACTGCAGGTTTTGGAGGCGGCATGAAAGGGCCTTGTGGAATGGAAGATTGCATGGGCATCTGAAGAGATTTGAATCGTTTAAGTGGAGATGATTTACATATGTATAACATGAGAAAATATAGCTAGGATACCTGAGGCTGAGTAGGCCCTGTTGATGCTGGCGGCTGAGCATCAGCAATTGCAGCCAGGTACATTAAGTTTTTCTGCAGCTGAGCTTGATACCTAAAATATTCAAATCATAAAACAGGCGCCAAAGGACTTATTTGCCCGCATACAAAGTAAAAATAAAGACCCTTAATTAGATTGCAGATAAAGAACAGTCACCAACACTTGAAACCAGATCCAAAATACAAAGTATTATCAAACATTTTCAGTGAATTTGAGATTGCTTTAGTGGTAAGAAGATTAGAACTGTATATCATGGATCACAGATCATGGATTCAAACCCAAAGTCTGTCAACGAGACATCTACAGGAGTATCAATATCAAATGCTTGTAACCATCCAATCCATATGGTACTAAGTAGAGTGAGGCAATCGGGTGAGTGCACTAACGCCACCAAGTGGAGTGTTCATCAGTTACTTTAATATGTAAGCAGGGAAGGATGGAGAAAGAGATCAAGCTCTTTTTGTGAGTGTGCAGTGTGTGTGTGTGACAGTGTGATCGAAACACTTGTGCATTACAAACAATCAAACCGTCACGGAGTGATTTTGTTCTTGTCGTAACTTTCACCTTTACACAAACTTATAATGCCATGTGGTGTGCAAGCCTCTAAACTTGACTATTTGGCAAGTGATTCTTCACTTTAGGCATTTACAAATTAACTTCGAAAACAAAGTGCTAGGAGTTACAACTGAAAAATATTACAGCTCAATAACTTTAGAACCGGGCAGGAAAAACATGAAACCTTTTACCTACATAAATAAGGAAGATTGAGGGATGAGTTAAGAGGTTTGATATTCAGTTTTTACTTTTTAGGCAATTAAGTAAACTAAGATAGAAATGCTAAGTGTAACAAAATCCTAAGTAATGCTTTCAACAACAAAAATAAAACAAGAAAGCCAGTATTCAAGTTTGGACCTATCATTTAAATAATTAAGCAAGGGTTGGCTAAAATAGTATGCTTCATTCAGTTTCCAAAAGATAATTATTAAGCTTACAACCAAAAATGTAGAATATGCATTGCAAAAAATAAGAGCAGCAAAAAAAAAAACATAATATTCATAATGACTTCCTAATAAATTTCCACGATATTTTTGGATTATGTGCAATGTATTAATAATATATAGTCTAGTTAAACAGCCCAATTGTGATCTATAATCACACAAGAAGACATTAATATGGTAGACACATAACTGTAGCTGTTCTCATTCAATTAGACACTTGATGGGAAAAGCAATTGACAAACCAATGAAACTAAATTTCCCATAGCATTGTCCTGATATTGTACATTGGATATTTTCAATGGAACCATGATGACAAAAGCAATTGGGTGATCCCTTTTTGTAAAACCAATATGTTTGGGAAAGTTCCATGAAGCTTCTCAAATTAAATGGTATTCGCAAGCTGAAAAATATATATCCATCCCAGAAATTTTAAGGAATACTCAATAAATTAACACAAATATTAGGTAAAATCTCACAAAATCCATTAGCATGCAGCTCAAAAAGAGTACCTAGATTTCACTAAAGAACAGATGCAATATACTCATATACATTGTGAGAACCCTTTCTGAATCTCACAAAGCCTTCCATTCATGATTAGAAATCTGAGAAAATCTCCATTCATCGTTTGTAATAAGTGAGATTTTCTCAGATTTCTAATGCTTCAAAATTGAGAAATATCATGTATAAGTGCCTCTGAGAAGAGCAAACCTCGATAAGGAATTAAGGAGCATGCTTATTCACTCTATGGTCTGATACCAATACTAGGATAGCCCAAAATAGCTTTTATCTAGTAAGAAATTGATTTGACCAATTTGCATATAGATGCTGCAACCGATTAGAAGCTTTTTTTTACTTTAGATTTACCCTTTATTTTTATCACACAGTAATTAAGCAGATGTAAAGTCATCTACGTCCTACAACAATGTTTGTTTCTTCTAAGTTCTAACCATCTAACTATTGGTATACACTTGTAGTTTGGCAACATGTACTACTTCATCCACCTAAATGAGAAAATCAAGAAGACGAATATCCAGTTTCCTGAACTTCTTTTATAGCTTTCGCAATAATTAACTAAGCTCATGATTCACCGGAATCCTAATCGCATAAAATCCTAATTTGGGACATCCACCTTCTTGTAAGACATTTAAGTTGGCATAAGCTAAAAGCAGAAACATATAGAGCATAAAAAGAGATTGCGCCTTCCGGTCATTGCTAGAAACATAGCTGATGATTAAATTTACCTAGTGTGCAAAGGCTTATTACTCAATTCCCACATTTTACAACACTTTCTTTTAGATACACTACGCAAGAAAAGCAATGTCAAAGAGCATAATCATCTCAAAAATGCAGCACAAAATCAAAATCACCTCCCCGTTTGCAAACATCTTCATGTCACCTTCTTTTCAATTTTAATTCTCATTTCATCATCATAGATCAACCAGCAACAATTACTGATACAAATATCCATTTTTATAATAAAAAAAAAAATGTGTTCACAACTAATCACGCAACTCAAATTGGAAAACAGCAAAAAAACTGAAATTAAAAATTACCAAAAAAATTAAGCACATAAAAGCAACTTACTGGGCACACTCATTGATTTTCCCCATGTTCTGACTTTCCATAATTGCCAAAATCAGCTGCTTATTCTCATCCAGATACTGAATCAAAATCACAGTAATTACAAAATGTAAAAAATTAGCAAGAAAATTTAGCTTTAAAAACAAATTAATTAAAGAAGACTTTACAAAGAATATAATAAATGCCCAGTGCCCAGTTGCCCATTAATTGAAAAATCACTAAAAGCATTGATTTTAGATATTTTAAGTTGAAAAACTCAAGTAGCCAGACTCAGATTTAAAGAACAAAAAAAAGGGCACCTTTTGAATTTGCTCGGTGGTGATTATAATGGTGGGTTGTGAAGACGGGATGTTAAACATTTGAGGTTGTTGTTGCTGTTGTTGCTGCTGCTGCTGCTGCTGTTGCTGTTGTTGCTGCTGGTGTTGTTGTTGCTGGTGTTGCTGTTGTTGTAGTTGTTGCTGGTGTTGCTGCATCTTTGCTTCTTTGGGAGTGTTGAAGAAAACTGCGAAAACCTAAAAGAATAAAAAAGAAAAGGGCGCAGAAATTCCAGGGATTGGCAGAGGAAATGTCGGAGACTTTGCGGGGTTAAGAAGAGAGAGAAAAAGGAGAGGGGTTAGCAAAGGCGGCAGTGGCAGACGAGACCAAATTGAAGTTTACATCATCCTAAATTACTCGTATAATTTATGATAAGGGGAAACATTACGGAATTAGAAATCTAACTACTCCCTCCTAAGCATGTCAATAGATGGGCCAGCCTCGGCACGACATGGCCCAACCTGAAAAAAAATTGTGGTATGGTATGGCTGTAAGTAGGCGTGTTAAAAACTTATCCGACCCGAAAGATTTACCTGAAACCGAACTGTTTTTGAACTGGTTAGATCCGATAATTTTATATCCGAAATCGATCTGGAGTCAACCCAAAGTTAATTTGAAACCGACTTCAACCGGTAATGTATGAACCAAACCCAACTTGGAATCGACTCATAGTTAATCCGAAACCAATCAGACCGGATAATCCAAGATCCGAAATCGATTTGCCCCAAACCGAAAACTTACCGAAACCATTTAGACCTGAAAAATATCTCTTTTTACCCGACCTTTATTTACCCGTCTTGAAACTTCCCATAAACCGATTAAATCAACTCGAAACTACATACTCATAGTCTAATTAAACCCAACCCATTAATAATAACCTAAGCCAAAAATTTCCATGACCATAATCACTGAGTTGCTAATGAATTGATGATGATAAATAGTCGGAAAGACGATATATGCAAAATGGCAAGAAAAAAGACGTTTTACAATGACGTGATAAACACCCAATAAGGCGATAAGTAATCATTTTCTTTAATTACTTAGTTGTCAATCTTATACCAATTCTGAAAAGCCAGCGCAAAACTTAAATTAAACCAAAAAAATGTTACAAAGTAAATATGAATTGAAATCTCCAATAACAAAAATGACATCACCTTTATGCTAGTATAGCTGAAACTAAAATGACTCAAATTGAGATTGACCTGTATTCATGTTACACGATCCAAAAATCAAAACTAAAATAATTCTGACCGAGAATGAGCTAATAATTGAAGTAAACATACTCAAATTTTAACCGAAATTGAATTGATTTGAACCGAGATCTTACATAATCCAAAATGACCTGATCCAAAGTCTACGTTTTGACACAAATAAATCCGATAAAATCCGGAACCGATTTCATATGAACTCGATATGACTTGACCCAAATTTGACTTGACCCAAATTCGATTTGTACCCGACTATACTCAAACCCAACTTTGACCCAAATCTAAATAAACTCAACCCGATTTGATTTGGTCTGTTAGATCGAAATGACCGGTTATTACCCAACCCAAACTCCATCTGGATACCCGATTTGACACCTCTAGTCATAAGGGTCTAAAAGCCACGACATGATATTATGTGTGTCGAGCTATGTTTAAGTCTGACTTTTATTTTTGAAAGAGCATAACAAAGTATGACATAGTTCGCCTTGATACAGCAAAACTCGATAATTTAGCTATAATTTGGCTTATACACGCAAGCATGACATAATGGCACGCTTGACGCCAGGTTGGACCACCATTGTAAAAATTTTGGCAAGGCATGTAACCAGTGGGCTAGGATATGTATCGAGCATGTAACCAATTTTTTGCAACCAAACTTACCAACCTTGTAAATCACTAAATCCTAGAAAGTCTTGCTTTGTACGTTTTTTCAACCAAATAAACCACTTATAATGTTACTTTTTTATAAAAGCATGTGATCATAAGTACTACGTACTTTATTTTACTCAACACAATATGTAGTCTTATTACTATAATTTTTTCATTATACTAGTTGTTGGACCGCGCGCTACGCATGTGATCCCCCAATTTGGCGATCTCTAATTGTTTATTATCGTTTAATTAGCTTATATTTTATGTTAATCAATATTTTATCGGTTTACTTGTAATAAAGCTATGTGTATTTATAAGTGTAAAACAATATTGAAAAATCATCGAACATGTAATTCTTGATAATGTGAGTAATATTCAGTGTGTATATATATCCAACTTCGTTAAACAATTTGATTTAGTAACTCATTCGATTATAATAGCAGTTATGTAGACGGAGACTTTATTGTCTATATATTTTGAACAATTAGTCCTGTTTAGAAACATTTATATTGAGTTGTGTTGACTAAATTTAATGAATTTAGTTTCTTATTATGCAACAAATTTATTGGTGTTTCAATTTTCATGTAGTAGTTACACTTCAAGTCAACATTCACTTAATATAATACCTTAGTTAGTAAATTGTCAATGAAATAGTGAATAGGAATATTAATGGTGATTGTGACTAAAACTAATTAATTATTGTTGGATGTTATAGACTGATTATTTATATAGCAGGTTGAGCTATGTTGAGGCTTACAAATTTAATAGGGTGGAAGAATTTTATGACTTATTCATCTAAACTTAGTGGTTGATAATTTTTGAGTTGCCATATAAAATATATTCAAGAGTAAAGTATTTGAAACCTTTAAGCTGTAGGAGTCAAATATCAAAAGAGTTATATTCTTTTGAAACTCTATACATACATTCACCTCGTAAATTTAAACGGGGTGTTGTGATTAGGGCGATTGGAAGATTGACAAATTAGGTGTTACAATCAAGGCGTTTGGAGGATTGGAAAACTGGGTGGTGCGATAAAGGGGATGTGAGGATTGGTAAACTGGGTGATACGATCAAGGCGATTAGAGGATTGGTAAACTGTGCGTTGAGATCAGGGCAATTGAAAAATTGGAAAACTGGGTGGTGCAATCAGAGTGATTAGAGGATTGACAAACTAGGTGGTGCAATTAAGGCGATTGGAGGATTGTACGATTAGGGAAATTTAAGGATTGACAAACTGGGTGTTGTGCTCATAGCGGTTGGAGGATTGGCAAACTAAGTGGTGTAATCAAGGCAATTGGAGAATTGACAAATTGGTTATGCGATCATGGCGATTGGAGGATTAGCAAACTGAGTAGTGCAATTAGGGCGATCGGAGGATTGCAAACTGGGTGTTGCAATTAGGGACATTCGAAGAATGGTGACACCAATTTGCCAAATTAAAATTGAAATTCAATGATTGAAAAATAAGCTTCAACGGAGGGCAGAAAGCTCGACACTTTAATGGAAGTCTCAGATCTTACAAGAGGAGAAAAAAATTCGTTCAAAACCAAAACTCACTTATCAAACCTGCTTCTCTCGTATGTGAGGAAACTGCATAAAACGAACATTTAATAAACAATCCAATATTATAATTAATTACAACAATAAATAAATTGAATAAGACCCAAGTATCAAAATTATAAATTAAAATCAATGAAAAGTATAAAGTTATACCGGTGTGAGGGGGCGATTGGAGGATTGGTAAACTGAGTGTTGCTTCCGGGCGATTGGAGGATTGCAAACTGGGTGTTGCGATCAGGGCGATTGGAGGATTGACAAACTAGGTGGTACGGTTAAGGTGATTGGAGGATTGTTTTCTTTTTCTCCCTCTTTTTAAATGGCATTGAAAATTACAAGTTGCACTTGCTCCCTTATCAACCATTCCTTTTATTAGTTTATACTCTTTCTCTCACTCTATTTTTTTTTTCCTAATCTCTCTTGTTCTTGTTCCATCCTCTAAAAAGCTTTGAAAATTATAGGTTGCACTTGGTCCTTCTTCCCTTAGTCTATTTATCCGTCCCCCTTGACCCTTTATATCTCTCGATTTCTCTCTATTTCCCTCTTTCTTCCAACCTCCCCTTCTTTCTTTCTTCCCCGTCCTATCTTTCTTTATCACTCTATCTTTCTCTCTCTTGGCCACACTTTTTCTTTATTCCTTTATATCTTTCTCTTTCGACCCTTATCTCTCTCTCACACACATAGACCTCTTTCTTTCTATATCTCATTCACTTTTTCTCCCAGCCCCTTTTACTCTCTCTATCTCTCTTCTCCCAGCTCCTCTCCTCAGTCCCTTTTTCTCTTGCTCTCTTTCTCCCGACCTCTCTTTCTTTCTTTCTCTAGAACCCTCTCCTCTCTCGGAATGTCCTCTCCTCTCTCTCTTCAGGCTTGCTCTTTATCACTCTCCCGACCCAACTTTTTCCCTTGGCCCCTTTATCTTTCCTGGTTTTATTCTTTCTCCCGGCCCCTCTCTATATTTTGTTGATTGGAGTAGGGAAGTTTAGAAGGATTACTAAATAATTCTTGTATTGTTATATTAAAAGAACTATTTCATAAAAAAGTTACATGTTTAAGCCAAAATCTTCTCATCAAAATTATATAATGACTCTTAAAACTATTTTTTTGTGATATGGGTGATAGCATTATTCAATCTAGAGTATATTCTTGTTTATATTATCTTGTATTTATATTTTCAATTTAATAAAATATAACAAAAGATATTATTCCTGACATGTAGGTAAAATTTGAAATCTCTTAGAATTTTATAAATTTATATAGATTAACAAGGAATAAACTCATTTATCCTTATAACAGCAAAGATGCGTCATTCTAATTATAATGCATGTATACATGAGACATAAATCTAATATGGGGTTAAAACTCACTCATACTTTAATAATGTATTTTTCGTAAAAATGTTAAATATCATCTGCGTAAAAAAATCCTATCAAATTGTTTTAATTTTTTTTATCACTCTTTCTTTCAATTTTGAATTTTGCTAATATTATTAAGTCAATTCTTATTTGCTCCCACTTCCACCTTCTCTTTTTCTCAAACTTCCTAAAGTTCTCTTCATTCTTTCCTCCCTCCTCATTGTCTTGTATCCTCTCCCTAATATTTTATACAAAAATAAAAACCATCGTTATTTCACCTTAATTTACCACACTAATTTTATATTTTTATAGAAAAAAAAAAAGCCAATTTATAATCAAATAGACTATGCTTTATACATATCTGTGATAAAACCATTTTTGTTACAAAAATAACTTTCACATTTAAGATACCTATATAAGATAGTTCAAAGCCTAATGTAATCTTTATGGGAAGTAAAAAATTAAATTAACGAGAGTGTATGTTAACTAAAAGGCCAGTAGTTACTTGCTTTGTATTGTTCTTCCCATATCCAAGAAGTCCGTAGCTTGTCCCAATATACTTCCATCATCAAGCCCTCATGCAAGAGACTAAAAGCAGATTCTGCTGCTAGCATCCCTTCGATAATTCATTAGAGAACCGAAGATCTTTATCAGCAATGAGCGAAAATGTTAGATACTAAGTTACTCAATTTGCAGGAAAAGCATATCTAACTTCACAGCATTGCGTTTTATATATATATATATATATATATATATATATATATATATATATATATATATATATATATATATATATATATATATATATATATATATATATATATATATATATATATATATAAATAAATAAAAAAAGGTCTTAGCAATTAAAAAGATAAAATGTGCATATAACGATATCTGCCAATCATACTGGCATAACACTTGCACCCTTCAAGATACCAAACACGAAAAGGTAGGTCATTAGTTTGTTTTTGAAATCTATAATGAGCCACAAACAGCGGCGTTGTAAATACTATGCGATTTCAAATCTTGGATACCACCACTCAATAATTTACCAACTAAAAGCAGGTTGACAATTAATAAATGTTCATTTAGATGGATACAAGTATGAAACCTCTAAATTATACAAATAATTTTCATGCTGGGAACACATCATGGACAGGAATTTTTTCTTAACACGAGTGAAAAGTAAATTCATTTGTGTGACACATCCAAAAATGCCTACCACATACCAAAAAAATAAAAAAATAACAAACCCTGTATAAAATTGAGTGGCTTGTCATGTTATAGCAGACTGTGGCAACCTGTTTTAGTTAATTTAGGTAGAGTAAAAACAACACCTGATTTCATTGCCTTATGCATTCCTTTGATTTTTGGTACGCTTAAAAAGCCAGCAGAGCATCCAATTATTGCACCTCTAGGAAAGATTGGATATGGAATAGATTGAAATTTGGCTACCATCAATTCAAATTTCACATGAAGTAACCAGCAGATGATTAAATATATAAAATTGTATGTGCAAACACATTTGTGTGTTATGTGTGTATACATATTGCAAGTATAGTGTAGAGTCACTTGAGTAGTAGAGTGGCTTTAGCCATAGGTGTAGGGGCTAGTAGCATCAACATAAAATGACTCTACACCTAAACAAACATAAAATGACTCTTACCTGAAAACCACCTTCATTCAGTGTATGAGCACCATACTGGATAACGATGCCACCTTCAAGCATTGGTTTAACTGCAGGATGGTGTTTAAGTTTCTGCAAAAAATAAAATAGGACACCTTAGAGTCTGAATTATATTGTATCCGATTGAACATTGAACTCAGAAATTTTTATTTTTGAAAATATGAAAAGTCTAAGATACCTGAAATTCCTCATGAGTTCAGGAAAGGATTTTAATAGTTTAGAGAAACAAGGCCAACTGATATCTGCATCAAGCCTGACGAGTAAACATTAGTTTCTGCAAATGCAAACACTCAGCCACTGGTTTTGTAGCACAGATCAGTCAAACGGAAGGAAAAGCAAATAACTAATTAAGCTTTTTACAAGAGAAATCAGTTTGCACAAATTTTTATAAAAAATCCACATATGAAACACAGTAATATTGTGATCAATGATTATTGTTTCCCTATCTCTTTCTATTGCTTACGTTCCCTCATCCTCTCCCTTTTACTCCGTATTCTTCTCTCCCTTTCACTCTAATACTATGGTCTTGATAGTTCAATTATTCCTACTTGCTCCCTCACCCTTCCTCATTCCCTTTTTTTTTTTAATCCCTCCTCTAACTATCTTATATGGTTATGTGTAATTAAGATATTCTCTTTTTTGTTCCAAAAAAAAAAAGATACTCTCTTTCTAAAATTTATAATTTTGTCATGTCATTAAAAAGACACTATGTTATATAACGGTCTCCAAAGAGAACTTTAATCTTCATGCCTCTTCTCTTCCTCGTATCCTCAATCTTTCTATATCGTGTTAGCCTTCACCAAGTCACCTGTTATTACTCTGTTCCTCATTCTCCTTTCATTCCTTCAGTCTCTCCATTTTCCCTTTCTCTTGCTCCTTATCCCAGTCTCACTCTCTCCCCTCTCTCTTATGATTTTATCTCTCCCTTGCCTCTTATGATTTTAACATTTTTAGTAAACCTAGTCCTACTTGCCCCAACCCCCCCCCCTCTCTCTCTCTCTCTCTCTCTCCATTTCTTCATTCCCTTTCTCTCCTTTAGAACTTCTAGCTAGTTACTCGTCTCTCCTAACTTTCTTTTATGGTTTTGGAAATATTAATAAGCCTAGTCCTACTCACTCCACCCTCCCTATCCCTCTCATTTTCCCTCTTCTATTTACATTCTAAAGTGAGCACTTATATTATTCCAGCATAGACGTCTTCACTTTTCGAATGCATAGTTGTCACATGAAAGTATGAAACTTTACAGCCTAACACACAAAAGGGTTCAGGCCTATCATATCCGCTCAAGTTGGTTATAATTCTATCTCAATTTGGCAACAAATTAAAAACATACATAACCGATTGGTTAGCCGATGCTCTGTGAACAAAATTAACCATAAACATTTTCTTTAGAGACAATAGAAAATCAGTAGCTAGCTTCAAGTTCAGATTTCTACTATGTGAAGTTGTGAATTACTTTTTAAGGTGTTTTTTATCTAAGTTTTTTAATGTTATTACTATGGGAGCATTAGCTACATAAGAGTGATATATCTTCTCATATGTTAAGGGATACTTATGTTGTTTTTTCGAATATTAAGACTTTGTAATGAAACAGTTGCAATAGAAGGTTTAAATCATACTAATGCACTTTCAGTAAAACTCAAAGAAGTACAAATCAACAAATTTAGTTATATAATCAAATGAGAAAGGAAATGAAATAAAGACACAAACTTAGGAAAAAAACAGGAGGGGAAGGAAAGAACAAACTTTAACAAATTATCAAGCAGAGTACACATTCTCAAATGCCATCCCACCAACCCGATACTCAAATTAAAAGACAAAATTTTGATTAATATTTATAACAGAGCCATAATACTACACAAAGGCAATTACAGAGAACCTAAAAAAAAGCCTTGCCATAGACTACACAAAGGCAAATTGAAATTAAACACATTTCTTCGCAAAACTCACATCTACAATTCTGCAAAAACCCAATTAAAAACTGCAAATCTCATTAAAAATTAATCAAACCCTAACATTTCACTTCAAATCTATCCAGCTTATTTCGCCGAATCTCCCATATACACATTCTACACCAAAATCCCACCAATTTCTACAGCACATAACAAGCTAACTCTTAATTACTCATACTGAGTTCAAGCTTAGCAAATACCCACAATTACAGAGAGTCGGGTTGATTTAAACGCGTTGAGTCACACAATGAGTTGAGTAACAACAAAATTCCATCATACACACTAATTACAAGAATAAGAAACTCAATTTCATTCAATTTAATTATTCGTCCTACATAATCACTCCATAATACAACCTAAATCAACTGTGAAAATTAAAATTAACAAAAATCTAATTTTAAAAATGAGAAAAAGCTACAACCAAAAAATTCAATAACAATCAATAAACAAGCAATTCAACAAAATCAGCATCGTAAATCATAAAATCAATAACAACAATTTTAAAAAGGCAGGAGCCATACACTGTGTAACAATTCCAAAACAGCTAGGCATTTCTTCTTCCAGGGACCTAAAAGTTCATTATAATTATATAAAGATAATCAGTATTACATAAAGATAAATTCTAAAAATAAAATTAAAAACACTTATAGCACATGAATTCAACTAAAACAAATGTTACTACCTTTTGGTAGTATGTCATACCCTTCTATAGTGCATTTTCCGAGTGTTTCCCTGACTATTAGCATTGGAACTGCAGGACAAAGCCTAAAATGTTTCTTTGACCACGGATTTAAAATACTCGAGCTTTGGCAGATCATCTGGTGATACATAAGCATTTTCCACAGTTCTTTTATTCTTTTTGACTACAAAAAAAGACAAAAAAAATATCAATCTTAACTCTGCACATGAATAATGGTGACATTAACGACAACAAAAATATATAAAACAGCAAATAACATGACAAAATTAGAGATTATGTAATTAGCAAAACATATCAGAATGCCTAACTATCAGCTAGCAATTTGTAATTAGGCTGACATGTATATTCACTCATAAAGCATGAATCCGTTTTTCAGATTTAGCACCTTCATATTTATTAGATAGGATCCACATATGAAATGATCAGCGCCATTTATCCTCTAAGATTGAGAAAGGGGGCAGGAATGCAGGATCCTGATCCCTATGGATTCATTCCCCTCATAAGAGAACAGAAGAGAAATGACAAGAAGTAATAACGGATGTAACTCAAGTAACTATTCACCTGAAAAGGTAAGAACCATAAAATCACATGACATGGGTTAGAATTTGCTACCAACATCAACAATTTCTGGCACATATTTGACAACAGTTTGTCCATCCATAGGTGATACAACAAGACACTTAATTCCATTGAGTTTCCCTAGCATAGATTCTACTGAACACACTCAATACCCTTTATCTTGTATTCCACCATTTTAATCTTCCCATCACCACATGGACTTGGTGGACAGATGTTAACCGTCACACTGTCCTGAGGTTCCAATAAAGGAACATTTAGATTAAACTTTCCATTGACTTCCATTTTGGTTACAACAAGATTTCAATTCTCAACCCTGTTAAGAATCAGGTATAAGTTTATTAGACTAGTTTTCTTCCTGAACTCAAATTACAGATGCCATAACAATTGATCAAGTCAACATTTTAAATGATTTGGAAATGTTTTAAATTAAGCTACTAATTCAGATTTTTACTTTTAATATTATTAAAAGATAACCAAGTCAATAATCACTATGCATACCACAAAAAGGAATATTGATTAAAAAAAATGTATAAATTTCTTGGTAAAGCAAACTAAGTTAAAAACATATACAAATGAATCAAATTATCGTTGAATTTGATCATAAATGCGTATACATCTACAAAATTCAAACAATGCACCTAATTTATCACTCAGAACCCTAGTTACTTTAAAAATTGCAAAATTAGAGCTTCACAATAAAAATTTACACCTCAAATTGCATACCATAAACCAATTCATAAAACCTCAAATTCAACACGCAAATATCTCTCAATTAAATTGCTGAACCAATACAAACCACAACTTTAAATTCGTTTTCAGAAAAATCACAAGAACATGAAGCATCTACAAAATTAAACAAAATTGATTGAGCATAAATTATTGAAAATTACCTTACCTCAAATTGTCAAAAGAATTGCACAATTTGAACGTTCTGAAATCCAAAATTAAGGTTCCAATGTTCGACTCGGAAATTGGGGATGAGAAATTTGGCAAAGTTGTGTAGCACACCGCTTTCGCAACAAGGGAATCAGCGGGAGCTCTCTTTGTACTTTTTTCATCGCGGTTGAGTTCATAATTAGTTATGTCATCGCCCAAACTACTATGGCTGAGCCTATATTTGTTCCTCCTACGAACATATTCTGTATAACACATATTCAGAACTAGTCAGTTTAGAAATTGTCTTTAAAAAAAATAAAATTGTAAGACAAGAACATCCCTTAATTATCATAAGAACTCCTTTGATGTGGTCTAAAGTCAGATCAAAGGTAAAAGCACACTCTTTTTTAAGGTGTATTAAAACATCAATAATGTCCTCTGCCTCAGATTCAGGTCGATTCAGGTCAATATGCTCACTAATGATTTCATAAAAAAAACCCCAACCCCCGATTAGAACCCCAAAAACCAGAAATTTTGAAACTGAAGAAAATTTATCATAAAACACATCCAAATCTTTGAATTCCCCAAATCATACCCCAAATAGGAGTATAGGACGGTACAGAACATTAAGCATGTCAAACTTGCATATTCTTACCAAGCTACCAGAGCAAACAAACCCAGATAAATCAGAACAACAAGCAACAGATTTACAAAATTCAGCATCCCAACCATTGTTGGACCCCATCATCTTCTTCTTACTCTAAACTCCAAAATTCACAATCTACAAAAAAATTCAGTCAAAAAATGCAGAAATTAAAGAAAGTCAACAATTTTCACACAAAAAAACAACGATCAAAGCATATCTCAAATTGGGAAAAAGCAGAGAGAGAAAATTAGGTGATACACAGTAGATAAATTTCAAAGCAAACAAAACCCTAAAAGCCAAACTAAAAAAAAGAGAGGGCTCATCTCCTCGAAAACAGTAATACGTTGATTGAGATTCACACAAAAACAATATCAAGAAAATGAACAAAGAAACCTCTCAGTATGTATATTCCTCAAAAGGTTCATATGTAAAAAGTTTAACCCTTAACTACCCAGTGCCGATATGTCAAGCACTCTCAAGCTAATGCCTTAGTGGCCTAAAACACAAAGAGAGCATTTCGAGCACAAATGTCCAAGAAAAAATACTTGACCATAATAAAGCATAAGCCGCCACAATTTCTTTTGTTTCCCTAGAGCGATACTGCTAATCAGCACCCCCAACACATTCTGGCAATAATCAACATGGCTATTACTATTAAAGCATTGCAGAAAGAATCATTTAAATAATCATTCAGCTAAAAACAAAATATTGATCTAGCAATATCAACTTAATCATGATGGAGGACATGCAAAAAATAAGAAAATAAAAACTATAAATAAATTTGTGCTTCAACTTTTACTTTCTAAAATTTCACACAATTCAACATTAAAATTGCAATTCAGACTGAATTTGAAGTAATTAGAAGGAAGATAAATATATCAAAAGCCGCTTCAATCGAGAACTCAGAGGTACGCTTCAATGGAGGAGGCTCAGATCCAACATTTCATCAAACAATTTGGGGAAGAATTTCAAGAAAGAGAAAAGAGAAAAGCAATTACCAATTGCGGCAAAACTAAACCCTAAAGTTGCTGCCAAGTCGATTGAAAAATCAATTACCCCAATTCTCAAAAATCCCACAAAATCAAGTTGAATTTGATTACTTTAAACGATTCAAATTCATCCAAAAGCTGCTTCAAAGGAGGAGAGAGAGCTAAGAAGGTGCTTCAATGGAGGATTCAGAATGCGCACTTCAATCAAGGGTAAAGATGAAGTGTACCATAGAAGAGGTAAAAGCAACTCAAAGGTGAAGAAAATGAATGGAAGATCGTAAAGAAAGGGAAAGGAAAGCAGAAGAGTCTTCATACAAAAAGACAAAAATAACCTAGGTAAAATTGGCAATTCAGCCAAGGGGCAGAGGGCAAAGTGGGTATTGGCGTATTGCACTATTCATAAGGAACAATAAATTTGGAATAGTTTTGGTGCCTTGGACTTTTATATAGGTAATTGGTTATAGATTCATTTTATAAATTAAAAAAATAAATAAATAAAATAAAATAAAATCCAAGTGGTACTTGAAACGAGAAAATTCAAGTTGATCTCGGTGATAAATAAGCATTGTTTATCTCGTGGCATTTCTGTAATTAAATTGCACTGGCTTTTGCAAACATCCAATGAAACACGAGTTCTGGGCCCCAGCTCTGTCAGCTGCCATGTGAGAGCAAAGTAACGGTGACAAAGCCGTTTCCCCAACGTTAACGCCAAAACGAAGGCCTTTAACCCACGGTAACATTTCCATATTTTTTGAAGAAGATGAAGGTGCTAGCAGGGTCGGGAATATGAAGGAAGGAGGAAAGGAAACCATGGATTAATCATGGAGATGGGTCATGGTGGAGTGAGGAGGAAGATGATGGTGATTTTTTTTTTATTTTTTTTAAAAAAAAATTCCAAAATGTAAAAGTTGAATTGAAGAACAGTCAAATTGAAGAAGAAAGAGGCTTACGTGTCGATGCTCTTGGGTTTGGGTAGGTGACACCGTGAGAGGCTGACAACAACTAACCATGGTTAGTTATGTCCACTTAACGTCCATATAACAGCAGAAATCCGTCCAAGAAATGTTGACATAAATACCCTTACTTTTATACGCGAAAAGACGAATCTATCCTGAGATAAACAATCCATGTTTCTCTCAGAGATCAACCTGGGCAAGCTCTACTTGAAACATATATTTAGAGATAGAAGAAGAATCGTATATTGTTTTCAAACAAAAAGAATCGTATATTCTATTCGCCCATTGAACTTCCCATTTGAATTACTTAGTTCTTGTGGCAACTACTTTTATAATAATGATATTAAAAAACATCTTATACAATGCACAAAAAGTAAGTCAATACTAGGACAAGAAATTCTGGAAGTATTTTTTTTTTTTGTTTGTTTGTTTGTTAGTACAGCCCAATTATAGAATAATCTACTCCGTATGTAATATCCTAAGTTTAAGTTAAGGATTATATTTTCATTGAATAGAGGAGGGTGACACATGCAATATTATGGAATACTATCTATTTACAAGAACTAAGATGTAGATAAAGATGGTTTTGTAGGTTAACTTTGACAAGTAAAGTTTAGCTAACCAAAATAGATTTATGGACTACGTTTACAAAAACTTCATAAATTATTGTTCCCGTCAATCTCTTTCGTGTAATATCTTAATTTAACGCATTATAAATTGCAAACGCAATTAACCATTTTATGAAGACAAAACCCCTAACTTAATTAAGGGTGGTTTACCTCTTCACATTAACTGCATGTGATTATGAGACCTGACTTCAAGCAAGTAGATTCAATATAAAACTAGACTCATTCAATATCACTGTAATTCTCTTTTTTTTTTTTTTTTTTTTTTTTAGAATTTAAGTCATATGGTAATATGGTATACAAAGTATTTTATAAAAAGAGTCAAAACTTTATAAAACTATTAAAATTAGAAAAAATTAACAGGAATAATCCCAACTATGTTCAATTCGCTCAAAATAATCCCAACTTTTGATTATTTTTTAATAATCCGAACTTTAATATGATTTGTTTCTAATGGTCCCAACTGGTCATAAAACTTGTTATAACAAGTCACCTGACATGTGTTAGGACGTGATTGGTCAAAAAAATAAAATAAAAATAAATAAAATAAAAAAATAATTAAAAAGTAAAAAATAAAAAAAGACTTTAACCAGCCCACTCCAGCCACCGCTGCCACCTGACCCCATCTCGGCTGCCGGCACCTGGCCCACTCCCCGGCTAGCGGATCTCGCCGGCGCAAGCAATCCCTCCCCCGTCGGCGAAGCTCGACCACCTTACCCTTTCCCCTTCCCACGAACAACCCCTACTCCCCAAATTCCCCCACTTCGACGCGCCGCTCTCCTCCCATTCCCCCCCCCACGATCCACCGCATAAACGCCCCTCCCTCCCTGGAACGACCTTCGTCTCCTATTCGCCAACCCCCAAAACCTTAAATCAAACTCAAAACTACTCGGAAAACCCAATGGGAAGCCTGCCTTAAACAACCTAGAAAACCAAACGGGAAAGGGGAGAGGAGTGGGGTGAGCTTCGCTGGCGGGGGAGGGGGGAAATGAGCTAGCGGGATGGGTGTCGGCCAGGAAGTTAGCAAGGCGCCGGTCGTCGGAGGTGGGGGTCAGGCTGGGCTATGGGCGGCCGTTGTTGCATTGGTGGTATTTTCTTTTTTTAATAATTTTTTTTAAGTTAATTAATTAAACAATTAAATCAATAATATAAATTAAAATTAAACTTATTTTTGACCAATCATGTGATAACATGTGTACATTAAAATTATTTTTGACCAATCATGTAATGACATGTGTACATTAAACTTTTTTTTAAAAAAAATTACCTTGGGAATATTGAAAATAATTTCATATTAAAGTTCAGATTATTTTAGGCGAATCGAGCAAAGTTGAAATTATTCCTGTCAATTTTCTTTTAAAATTATTTCACTTTTAAAGCTGACAACAAAAATGTAAAAACATTTTTTTTAGAGAAAAAGAAAAGGGAAAAAAAAAATAAAAAAAATAACGAAAGAATTATATAGTACTACCTCCGTTTTTTTATGTGCAACTTTGGCACATAAAACGATTCACGAGGCAAAAGATTGAAGGGCAAAGATTAAGAAACTATAATGGTGATTAATATATTATAGGAGTATGTAATTGAGGTGAGGTGGAGAGAGAATGTTTGGATAATTAATCAAACCACCCACTGCCATCACCAAGACCAGCCACCACCACCGCCGCCTTCACCACCACCACCGTCGGCTTCACCACCACCATCGTCGGCTTCACCACCACCACTACCACCCCCACAAAACCACCACCACAACCAACCCCACGAAACCACCACCACCCTCACGTCTTTCCCTCTTTTTTCCGGCAGCCCCCTCCCTAACCAAAAAACCCAGATCTAAGCCAGACCACCTAGACCCACATCTAACAACCTAGACTACCCCACCACCTAGACCCACATCTAACCCAGACCACCCCACCACCCACGCCACCAAGACCCAACCCTAACCCAGACCACCCCACCACCCAAACCCACCTCTAACCCAGAAAATCAAAATCAAAGATGAAAGAGAGAAAGCCGGTGGTCATAGGGAGCAACAATTGGGCCGGAATCATGACCGGTATCCGAGAACCCACCACCGCCGCGCCGTGAACAAACTTGCAGGCGTTACCATTCGAAAAAGGGTCGTTTAAGAAACCCAGATTTTGTGGTTGGTGGAGTATGGGTATCTAATTCGGTGAAAAATATGCTCAAGGGTATTGAAGAAGGTGATAAAATTACGACGGCATATTGGAGTAGTAGTTTTGACGTGATGCTAGTTGGTCTCGCCGTCGTTAGCCGGTGATTGTTGTTGACGACATTTATGTGGTTATTGAATTTGGTGATGAAAAATGGTTTGAGGGGATTGATCGTCGCCGTAGAGGACAGACAAGGGTTAGCCGGTGGTGAAAGTGTTGTATTTGTGGTGGAGGTTGCAGTGGTGAGGTGGGTGATAGTGATGGGGAAGGGTAGGGGGTTTGGTCAGTGAGCAGGGATATTGGGTAAGGCAGAAAACCATCATCCATGAAATTACCCTCATTGTTAGGTAATCTTGGAGAAGGAAGAGAGAGAGAATGGTGGTGGGTAGATGAGTAAATGGGTGGGTAAAATTAGGTTAATGATTTTAGATTAGACAAAAAAGTTATTGTGATTAAAATAAGATAAGGGTAACATTAAGAAAATCTGAATTTTTAAGGAAGGGTAAATTTGTAATTTTCAGGGTTTTTGTTTACTAAAAATAGAAAGATTATAGAAAGTTGCACATAATAGTGAACGGACTAAAATGACAAAAGTTGCACATAAAAAAAAAACGGAGGTGTATATTTTGTATAAGAGGCGTACTTCAAGAATGACCTTTTATAGCATTTATCTAGGAAATTTGTTACGGGTACTAAAACGGACTTAATTCAGTAATTTGAATTAGTTTGGGACTATAAAGGTAAAAGGGATAAATTCAATTAAGCCAATGTAGGCATGAGCAGTAAAATTAAAATCATGCAAATGGAGCACCCTCCAAGTATGAATTTCACAAGGGTCATTAAAGTGTAAAACCCATTTAGAATTTACTCGTTCCATAACTTTTTCATGTACGGTGCAACTACTCTATTAAAAATTGAAGCGATGCAGGTATACAATTTTCTGCCAAGTATATTCAAGATCAGCCTTACAGAGTTACAGATCATTGTATCTGACGACGAGATGAAAAAAAAGCATGAGAAATGAAAAGGCAAAAAATAGAGCAAGCATAACATAAAATGTAAAGGAAAGGAAACCAGGAGGGGTGACCAAAACAAGAGAAAAAAGAAGCAACAGATCAATGTAATCTCTTAGCTTGAATAAACATGTTGCTATAAAATTCTCCAATCAAGACAAAGGGTAAAACATAAATCAGATGGACATTCCAATCAGAAATTCGGTTAGACCAAAGGATTAATGGAGATATTGAATGGGATAGTTGGCTCCTTCAAACAGGCGGACATCTTACAAGGCTCATTTAGCAATGTTGTCCAAACAAGTTCATTACCTTTCAAAAGCAAATCCTGTCAAAACCAAATACACACTGCATTAGAGCCACTATACATGATACATTTATGTAATGTGATAAAATCATAAAAATAAAGAGAATAAGAAAGAAGAGTCACATTACTTGCATATTTACAAGTAGTAGATGAAATCACATAGATGTACATGATCTAACAACTTTAAATTTTATTATACAAAGTACAGATTTAAAGAAACTAAAAAATATTGCAGAACAAGTTTCATAAATAGGGGGGGTAATAGTGGATGCCTAATCTGATCAGCAAAGCATGGGTGACGGGAACACAAATTAGAATCACAGCATCTGTTAATACAATCACATTATTCAGTGCCATTCAGATCCAGATATTAGGTTTACAAGCATGAAAGGAGAGCACTAAAAGTAGGCCATAAGCAGTAATTCAACTTTCAAACGCTCACAGCCAATTAAACCCACAAGCCACAGCTAACCATGTTATAAGGAGGAAGTTGTCGATCTTAGAAAAGCTTTAAAAAATTGATAATACACGGCCATGTAATAATCAAAAGTTCAACACACTTACTATCATCTCAAATCCAACCCAGCAGTCCTGCAGACAAAAACAAAATGAGTTTAGCACAAGCTACAGTTGCTACAGCTATGATAAGTAGTTTAAATGGGAATTCAAGAGAGCTACCTGCCTTGCTATTTAGCGATAAAATTTGGCACTGCCCCCCCTTGCATGGATTGGCACCTGGTTTTGTGGATTGCCAAGAATAGATCTATCAGAATGCACACCATTTTCAGCAGGAACTGTCAAAGGCTGCCCAGACCTTGCCTCATGGCCATTGCGTTCCAAAGAATCTTTTGACTTGCTCAAAATTTTCACATTGGAAAGGCTTCCAGAAATATAGCCAGAACCATTAGAATGACGGCTCTGCATAGCTGGTGAATGTGAACTGTCAACAGAATTTCTCAATGGTTTAGGTTCCAAGGACGATAACTTCTTAACTCGACCAGCATCAGCCATTGGCGTGACAGCCACAGGAGGAAAAAAGGAGGAGTAAGGAGATGACGCAGCAGCTGCTGCAGCGACTTTTGCCACTGCTGCTGTAGCAGCAATAATTCCTTGTGCACCTTCACGAAGTTGTATGTAATCCCCTTCAATTAAGAAAAGCTGCACACACAAATGAACTGTGTAACCACCATATTCCAGTTTGCATAAAGATAAATAAAAGTATTGGATAGGGGACTTACTTCAGGGTGAATGCTCACAAAATCATCAAGTTTACCATACTTCCTCTTGTAATCATGCCAGTGAAGAGGAGCAAGCATCTTTCCAAGTCTATTTGGAAGCTGTATCAGCATCAAGTTCAATGAAACCACCCATTAGGCTTAAAATTCTCAACACAGATACCGAAGAAAAAGTAAATTCGACTATTTAGCCCATTTACCGTTGAACTAATACGAATTTTGCCTCCTGCTGGGATAGTTCGGACAATGCAAGCTAACAAAGCTCTTTCATCAAGAAGAGGAGACTCTGATATCTTTCTAGTCGATAACCCATTTGACTGATCAGTTGAGACATAAGATTCAGTTGAAGCAACGTCATCAGCATTGTTCACAGTAGCTTCAGCAAAAGGCACAGTGTGAGCAGATGATTCAGATGGTGATTGCTCGACAGCAGAGCAAGGTTGCTCCGTCACCACATTATGCATTTCAGTCCCATTGTTAGAAATGATGTTCCCAGCATCATTATCCTCGGTCTATAAAAACATGATAAAAGCAAGTAATTAGTAAAACTTCTAACACCTAAGTGTCCTTTTTTCACAGAGTTCACTTTAAATGAATAATTAACTTTATAAGCTTCACACAAAAACATGAACGAACCTTGATTTCACTAGTTTGATTCAGAGGGTCCAAACGCAGTGCCTCTTGGAAGTGTGAAGAAATCTGTTGTAAGCTGTGCTGAGTGTCAGGGCCAACAAAAAAGCTCTTCTCCACAGATTCAAGAGTCTGCATATTGAAATAAATAATTGTGAATTTTTATATAAAGAAAACAATACATACGAAATCAAACTTGTGAGTCACATAGGCCCATAGAAATACCTGTGCAACCTCGTTAGATGTAATTTGGCAGTTAGGATCAACTCCTTGGCTGAGATGAGCATTAAGATAATCTGGATGCAGGCTTTGTCCATTGACAGAGTACTCATAGCCGTAAGTCGAATCTGATCTTGAAGGGTTTTCTTCTGCTTGGGAAAGTGAGTATTGATTCTGAGAGTTGATAGAATGACCTTCTGAGACAGCCTAAAAACGATATGAACAATTAATAAAATAATATTTTCACCACACCAATTTGATATACAAGTATACAACAAAAATAAGCTCATACCTGTTGGTTCTGCCACTGTTGGAGAGAATTCAGTGCTGGTACTGATTGAAAATGCCCAACATGGGACTGAGGAACTTGTGATGCTACATTGTGGTTAGTTCCTTGTTGATGCATGATATATGGATGCATTGCAGTTACCTGTCCAGGTGGATGATAGGAAGGCATCCCCATAATGGATGGAGTGAGAGGAAGACTAGGAGCATGATTGGTCTACAAGGAAAACAGGGAGTTACATTTAATAACAATAAGGCCATGAACTCATAAAACTTATTCAATATCCTTATTCAGCCATCAAAAAGAAAATCAAGACAAAGCATTCATTGCATATCATCTGATAACACAAACTTGAGGTAGTAGTGACTCCAAAATTCTAGAGGTAGTAAATGATAAATCTAGAATTATGCAATACTAAACCAATATGGAGGCTGCAAAGAAAAATACAAGAAAAGTCTGTTGATTCCAAAAATAAACAAATTTCAGCATAATCTATACTGTGTAGCCACTTAGCCTTTGTCCTAACTTCCATGCAAAAACAAAATTTTAGTATAATGGTGGCTCAAAGCACCCACATTTCCAGTTATTATAAGTTTATAGCCACCAGAATTCATTAGCTCACTCAATGTTATACAGCAACCCAAAACTTCAAGGTAACAGTTATATATTGGTAACTGAGCAAGGCTCCTAAGTGCTTTCTTGGTAGTTGGTACCCACCGATCTTTTGTCCCTACATACTCCTTTACTTATCAGCACCACACACACTACTCTGAGTCTCTAATATAATTGGTACCTTAAAAATATTCTAGCTTGCTTTAACTCAGATCCAAAACGTTCTTCTGAAGGGTAGAGGTACCCATACATATGAGGAGGGAAGGAGATAGTTCATTTGCTAACACTCGATTTAACCTTAAACCCAACTCAAGCTGGCATCAGTGGAGATAGGATTATAATCTTTTCATTTCAAATATAGTGGGCCAGTTCCCTTCCAAGCTATGCGTGGGTGCTTAAATAGGATGTCATTGATGAATTCACTAATCAAGCAAGAAACTACAACCTAGTTGTGGGCAAGCACGTACTTGTAGCCTAGTGGATCATTGGGTCCACAAGGTGAAAACGAAGGGTCAAGGTAGAACTGCTTAAAAACAATATCACTAACATCTGAATGGTCTAATACATAAGCATTACTAGGCAATGTATAAAACCAACAAGGCGCACAAAGGAGTCGAGCCAAGTGCGAAGCAGAGTTGTGAGGCACATATAATAAGAATTACTCATAACTCTTAAAAAAAGATGATTTGCTCCTCACTGTGCCACTTTGAAGTCACCCCACCTAACCCAAAAAAGGTACTTGACACCTATCACCTTGAGCCTCATTGCCTCGAGCGTGCCTTTTATACACTTTTTAGCAAGTTGAAAATCACTATAACATTCCAGCAATTTGCCACTCCATAAGCAGACATGTAAACAAAAGTTGTCCATATGGTTCTTCCTTTTAGTGTATAGGAAAGATAAAGCGAGAGGACAGAGAAGAAGATTGATAAGTATCAGATATGTTAAACTGCAAAGAAAGTTGAAAACTCTAAACAGATAATATAGCCTTACCTGTGAAGATGCATTGCCAGAAGAAACATATGATTGAGAGTTATCTGAATTCCCATTAGGAAGTCCTCCAGAACTATTTGATGCCCCACCACCATTAGCTTCAACGCGAGTTCCACTGTTTGGTACAACTTGAGAACTATCACTAGAGGTATTCTGTGATTCAGCACTATATGTTCCGCTATTTCCTCTGACACCAGCCAGCTCAAGCTGAAGCTGCTGAATGGCCTGCACATGCACCCTTTCCATCTCTGCAAACTGAATTTTGATATTTTCAGGTCAGATTACAATTAAAAACTGCTGAAAGAGCGTATGCAGACCCCCCCCCCCACCTTCTCTAAACACACGCTGTGAGATTGTTGACATTCAAGTTACACATGCATGCAGCAATCTGAATGAGGAACTGACTAACGTGAAACTAAGCACCTAAAACAACTACACTAACCTAGAAGGAATATGATACAGCGCTTGTGAAGGAGAACGGAAATGACAAATCAAGAGCATATAAATAGTTTCTGAAATAATTATTTTGATTCAAAAAAATTAAGCAATTCTCTAAAAACAATATAACCTAAATGGCAATCTAAATCATGCTAGATATTATTAAAGTCAACCTGTCTTTGACAACCCAACCAGAGCTGGTTATACTGTTCTGTACGTTCCCGTAGCTCAGCTTGCAAAGTACTTGATTGCAAGGCATCTATTTCCTGCACTCGTGCTATCCAAGTCTGTGCATCCCGTATCTGCTCATCCTTGTAGAGGATTGTCTCTTGAGCTACCCTATGCTGTCAAGTAGAATATATAACAGAATCAGAAGTATGCATAACATCAGCAGCGCCTACTGTAAAGAGTTGCAAGATGCAGCAATCAGCTAGCCATTTCCTACACCCCCAACCACAAGATAAATACAAAGAAATTATCCCCTCAAGGTACTTAAAGCAACTTTACTGGGATCTATTAATGAATAAGAACGTGCACATTATTGTTAATGACAACAACAAAGCATTTAACGGGAAATTACAGCACACCTGCTCTTGCAACTCCAACATCTGTCTCTCTTTATCCTGAATATGTTCTTGAAGATCATGTATCTGTTGTCTATGGTGAGCTCTCTCAGCTTCAATCTTATCACGCTCCCTCCTGTTCAAAGAAGAAAACACGTCAATCTTCCAGTGTTACTTTAAGGGGGGGAATATTCATCTTGGAGAGGATGCCAAATTAACCATCTTGAGAAAACACAACTTATTTCATGTTTCATCTATACAGATGATAGAAACAAAGTCAAAGAGCATCAAACCAAATGGATGATAGAAACTAAGTCAAGAGCATCAAACCAAATGGTGAGGGAGAGGCAATGATACCCATGTTTTTAAAAGGTGGAGATGTGTAACAGAATCTAATCACAATGCACAATTAAATTCCAGAATGAATAGAGTTGAAATTGAGAAGCCCCACCTGAAGTTCGCTATTTCTTGGTTTTGCTCCCTTAGAAGATCTTCCTTAGCCCAAGCCTGTCAAAAAGATAATTCAACAAACATACCTCTAAGCAACACAACCAAAAATAAATAAATAAATAGATAAATATACACAAGTAGTTTTTTTTTTTTCAAATCAAACTGACCGCTTCATTATCCAATCTCACAGCATGTAACTCTCGATCTTTCTCCTCTATCTTCCTCTCAAGCTCACGCATCGATTGGTCTCTTTCATGAAGTTGCTCCTGCCAAACCAAAACTACCCAGTTCAATACAACACTAGAACAAAACAATTACGATACTACAAAACCAAAAGCCCTATTTCAATCAAAACCTGAAGCCTTGCGACAACATTGTCTTGTTCTTTGAACCGAGCATCAAAGCTATTCTGCATTTCCACAATCTCGGATTTCGCAATCAACTGAGCCCTAAGTTCTATCTCCATTTGCTGCATCTCTTCTCTCTGTCTAGCCAAACTATGAATTCTTTGCTGCAAAATCCCATCTTCCATACCCATAATCCCGTCCATTTGTATCGAGCAAAAGTCTACCCCATCGATGGGCTCTTGTCCCTGCTGTACCTTAACCCAAGTGAAAAAACGAACCACGCTAAATCACTTGTTCACTGAATTTCTCAATACAAGCTCACAAAATCTATCACAACAAATACATAGATTACCTCGTATATAGTCCTTTCATCAGATTGCCCTAATTTCGACCTTTCTAAGTCCTATACACGAAACAGATGAGCCAGATCATAATCAAAACCCTAAATTTTGTCCATTTAAACCCTAATTTTTTGATTAATCCCAAAAAACACATGCAATTAAACAAACAAACAAACATTAACAATAAATTAAATTAAACTAAAATACCTCAGTTCCCGAGCTTCGAACGGATTGTTCCGAAACGGCACGCCATTGTTTACGAGATGGCAACTGAGACGTCGACTGAGACAGCGAAGCGCCGCGTCCAGCAGCGGCCGCAGCCTCCATACTTAGGTCAGAAAAAATCGCGAAAAATCAACGAAAAAACCCCTAAATTTCGGAATTTAAATTTTTATCAGATAATGCGAAAAACCCTAGAAATCGGGTACATCGAAAAGAGGAATCAAAATCGATAATGCAGGTGAGAAATCGGCGAAACACAGTGAAACAACGACGAAGAAGACGACAACGATTGAGAAGGAGGAGAGAGAAAGTAAGAGAAGAAAAGGAAGAGAGAGAAAGAAGAGAGAAGATGGTGTGAGTGATTAAGTGAAGAAGTTACAGGGGTTTATTTGCAAATTAAGGGTTTTATAGGGAGTTGAATAGTGAAAATAATTAAGAAGATCGTTGACGACAAAAGCAAAATTAGAAGAGAAGAAGAAAAGGGTGAATTTTGGGGATACTGATCAGACTCCCGCCATTTATAGGGTTAAAGCCCTTAAAAGGGTTTGCCTGGGTTTGTTACTTTGATCACGTTTGTTGTGGAGTTGTGGTGGTGCTTGAGGGTGTATTGATACTTTTGCATTTCCACCATCGGGTTTTCAGGTGTTTTTATGCAAATCGGATAAGCACTATATTGATGGCGTTATGTTGAGATGGGAAAACTGTGGGTGAAATATTATGTTGTAAAACAAGATTGTTTGATCGGATATCTTGAATTGACGGAGGAATAAATTGTTGTTTTAATAGGTTACATCACTACATTATTTGTGGCTACCCATAGGGTTTTTACCTAAGGTGTGTTGTTTTGCGTGGGAACTGAGTAATGTGTTACATATATGATTCACAAATACGTATCTTACATGCCAAGAAAGTCACTAATCACAATTGACAATTTAAGTAAAACGGGTGAAAAAACAACTCGCAATGTGAAAATACAATCACAAATGGAGAGAGAATAAGATAGAGAAAAAAAATAGCATAATGTGAAATAGCTTGTAGGCAGCAAAAAAAACACTTAATTATTCCCATGGTCGTTAAAGAGTCATCTACATAGCTACAAAACGAGTACGGTAAATTGGTAATACTACATTTTGTTAATACCGCGAATGAAAAAGTCTTTTAAGTGTTCTATTATAATACATAGCACCACACAAACTCTCACCTACATGATTATTTTTTATGTTAGTTATTGAGACAAACATTAGAAGATTGCTTAATTGATTTATTAAATCACGATATTAATAGCATTATTTTAATAGGTTACTCTATACAGGAATTGTGTTCGCCCAACGTGGTTTCTATCTACATGGCGTGTTGTATTACGTGGATAACAAAGTAATTTTGCTTACACGAGTCGTAAATACGTGTCTTACATGCCGATTAAGTCATTAATCACATTTCACACTTAAGTATAACAAATGAAGAAGAAGGGAAAAAAAATTAAATAAATAACCACCTACACTAATTGAGATAAATTGAGAATAGTATAATAATTGCAAATTGTATGAGCAAAAACATACTTGACTATTCACATGGTTTTTGAATAATCAAATATAGCTAGCTAAAAAAGAGTGTGTTAGAAGTATATCTTTTTAGAGCGCCGTTAAATAAGTTTATCACACATGTTAGTGATCCATATCATCATATAAACTTTCATCTGTATGATTACTTGTTTATAAACTAGTTTGTTGAAAGATACATCTCATAGAATTACCAACCATTTGACAATATTTTTATTACGACTATTGTATTTATATTTATAAAAAAAGTATTACCTCATATTTAGTGCTTCCTCTGTTTTAATATTAGTGTAACAATTAGACTTTTGCACTATTCATCACTCTTATTTGACCATATATTATAATTTATACGTTAAATAAAATATAGTCATGTTTATCTTGTTAAATTCGTCGCATAAAATTCTTTCACAATATCAACTTTTTTTTATAATTTTTACTCTTATACAGTTATAGATATTTAACATGCAAAATATCTTTCCAAATGCGTAATTTTATCCTTGTTGCAATACTATTGAAATAAAAGAAGTATTTTTAATATTTTATATTTTGTTTAATTTCCTATATGCTGGTGGTGATCTCTTCTAAGCCCCACTTTCTCACTAATTGAATGTCATGAATTTCATCAATTTAATATTTTATCCGTTTTAATTATCGGCTTAATTCATATCTAAAATCACTAGAGTAATGAATTACGAAAAATAGGTTACCTTATACTTTGTAATTTTGTATAAGATTTATGTCTACCCACCTTGGTTTTTAGCTATAAAAAGTATTGTATTACGGGTGGGTGAAATATACCTATATAATGCGGGAGTATAGAATTTAAAATCAAACCATATTACCATAATAATACCACCTTGATAGATGGGTTGGGCCACGAGTTAAAAAACAAGTGAAATAGGGTTGCATGTTGACAATAACTCACAAAAAAGTATGGTATTGTACAAATATTTCTCAAGTATAACTATATGTCTTACATGTTGAGAAAGTCAATAATTTCAATTAACAATCAAATAACTTGTTGGTATAAAAAATGAGTACATTTGATTCCGTGATCCGTTCAATTGCTTAATATGCAAACCGTTGAGATATACATCTTGTAAACTTATTATATCTATTGTAATTATCTATACTAGTATCTAAGAAAATAATGGTGCTAGTCTCTATGTGTTATCCAGTTACATTATATGATTATAGTCCTTTGTTTGATTTGTTATATCTTTATCTCAATTCAACCATCTCACTTAAATACCATGAATGTCATCTGTCTCAAACTTGCAATCACTAACTTCTCGTCATACCCACTTTTTTAAAATATTAAATTTGGATTCTCTATGCTTGATTTTTTTTTTCATTTCTATACAAATATACTACTTCCGTTTTTTTTTTTTTTTATTTGACACGTTTTGACTTTACCACTATTTACACACTCTCTTTTGACTGTGTTCTGTGTTTTATACGTAATGAAAAATATAATTATGTGTGATCTTGTTAGATTCGTCACGATATATATTTTCAAAATATCAAACTTTCATAATTTTTGCTTATTGGTAATTAAAGATATGAATGGCTGAAGTTGTGCATTGACAAATGTGACTAAAGAAATGTGTTAACTAAAAAGAAACGGAGGAAGTAAATCAATTTACTTGCACTGGTATTTTAAAACACAGACCACCACTGCCACTTATTGTACTCCACTTTTATTGTTTCTTATTAAAAATCTATTTTAGAAAACCTAACAAAAATTAATACTTGTACATATATTTTAGCTCACTTCCAAAATATCCTCTCTTTTTAGTCGCAAAATAATTTATAACTTAATAGGTATAAAGGGAGGTAATAGACTAACAGTATATTAACATACACATCTTCAAATTTGCTAGAAGTATTTATCTACCTTATTGTTTAAGACTTTTGAGAGTATAAATCGTAAACAAGATCTCTATGCACAATATACATGCGTAAAATTTAGAAAATATACAGTACAACTTGTTCGGCACTACCACATGTTCACACTAGCTAGCATTGAACAGGTGAAAAACATTTTATTTAGAGAAATTAATCATATTTTGAGTTTTTAGGTGGACACTAAACCACCAAAGAGTTTTTTTTGTTCTTTTTAATTTAATGTCAAAGCTTATATGCATCAAGATGATGATGAATTGATTATTATTATTATTATTATTATTACTAGTTTGGTGTCCCGTGCGATGTCCGGGTTGTTTATTAAATTTTAAGATAAACTTTTTTATTTATGCACCAAGTTTTAAAATATATCATTGATACAAAATTAGTTAGAAATTGATGAAATTTGGTGACGATTTAAATTTTTATGTAGTAGGCATTTAATGACTTATATTAATATTGGTGAAAATATTCGATTTAAAAAATTATAAAAAAAAAATAGCAAAGTAAGCTTGAAATATTATAAATTTCTAAAAATTAGTCAAAAATTTTTTTTTTTTAAAAAATTGTACTACGCCCGTTAGGTTAACCCAAACCCAAAACTTTGGGCTAGCGTTGAAAATTTCTTGATCGTGACCTGAAGTGACTCGACCTAAAATGACCCGCGACTTGACCCGATAGACAGGTCTACATACAGTAAAAAAATCATATTAGATTGAGAAGTATTTTATTTCAATCGAGTAGAACGTATTAAAAATGAATGTCGTACATTTTGAACTACTTCCTTCGCTTCAAAAAAATATGATAAACTATTTTATTGTTTTCTACGTGGCGCAACATTGGTGAAAAAAACGCCAAGTGTCATTGTCTTGTGGTCTGGTTAAACTTATAATTTATTTGTACCTATGAAATATTGGTATTTTCTCGGAAATAAATCTCTAAACCAACAATTTATCCTATAAATATTTCCAAATTTTATTGAAAATAAAACTCTAAACTCACCTTTTTTATCCTACAAATTGTATCCAAGTTTTTATCGTAATAAAAAAAATACAACTTTTTTATTTATAAAAAATATATCCAAATAAAACCTACCTGTCATACTAATATTTAATTGTTGCCTACGTGACGCGATATTTAGCGAAAAGTTGAAACGTCAAGTGTCGCTGTCTCGTGGCCTGGCTAAAAGTTTAGCTTCATATATTAGTTATATGAAGTGAATTTTAATAAAATTTCCATAAACTAACATGGATTTTTAACAAAATAAATTATCTTTTCGTGAGGTTTATATATAAAGTGGATTTTAACAAAATTTCCATAAACTAACATGAATTTTTTTAAAAAAAAAATTAAAAAATAAATAAATTTGTAATTGTTAATGATAGAAATTAGAATAATAAAATCCTCGTGTTAACCAAAGTGCTCAAAGTTTCCACAGTAGAACAAATAAAGTTATACTATAAGTCTAACAACCACCATGGAGATCTCTCCGACCCACCACTTGAATCTCACATTATTTCCAACTAATTTGTAAATAGATATCTATGTTATTATTAACTTGATATTTTTTTTGTTGCACTTAAATTATTTCTAATGAACTGAAAGTATTTTTTCCAAACTAAAATTATTTTTTTTGATTAAAAATTATTTTTACTAATTTTCTATTTTTTTTTTATTAAAATATATTATAAATGGATCCCATTTTAAAGAACTTTTTAAAACGAATTTTATGATGGAAATAATAATGAGTTATAAGATATTTATTTAAAGTTATAATTAATTTTGTATATGTGAAATATTAGAAGTATATCGATAATAAAACACTATATAATATTTTATCTTAAAAAATCTTTCATAATTCGCTTACTTAGTATCCTATGTGTCACAATAATACCTATTTGTCGTGGCTCGACAATTGACAGAAAATTGGAATGCCAAGTGTCGATATCTCGTGACTGTGTACATCGACTTTATATATCAGTAATATATGATATGATATTACCAAATGAACAACCTATTACATTAATCACAATTCACAAATTACAACCATATTGTTTCAATAATCAGTACTCCGTACAACATTCTTTTCAACTTAATACATCACTTGGCTCACATGAACCCATGAATTTCTTATAAATATTAATGCATTGTATTTCATTTGGTTTTTACACAGCCATGTGGCCCACGGCTACATTATGAAGAATTAATTGTATCAACAACACATGTTGTACTAGACTAGTAACTTTACATATAGTTATTGTGTGATTTGCAATTTTTCACTCTTACACATATGTTGTATGATTTGATCATTAATGTAGGTTTATTTTTCATTAAGATCCACCGTTATACTTGTATAGAGAGAGCAGGTGAAAATGTGAACTGTGAAACACGTTCATTTTATTTAACAACGCTTTAGGTTGATCATCAGTTAATGTATGTTTATTTTTCGATAGGTAATAAAGATCTGATCCACCATTCCAACTATATACAAAGAGCAGACAATACACATTCATTTCATTTCACAACATAAGTCAAACGTAACAATAAGTTTACATAAATTTCGACAACTAGGCAAATATTAAAAGCACAACAAAAGTTCCTACATGAAGCATGAAGTTACCATAAACAATTGCTATGAATATTACAAGAAAGACCGAATTAGTATGAAATCAATTGAGTATAACAATTAAACAACTAAAGTATAATAAAATTGTCAAAACAGCCGACCATCGGACACCTTCCTCCCTTTGACCATTCACACAACAAGACCCAATCAAATATCAGTCAACCCCCCCAACCTCACACATCAAACGGTGCAAAACCCATCATTCACCTAAAGTAGGTCACCGCCATGTCACCTTAAAAAATAAAGCTCCAAACTTTAAATGTCAACAACTTGAACTTCTCCCTCTACTTTGAAAAAACTCTCTTCTTTAGCTCACTTTCTCTCTCTAAAAAAAATTTAAAGATTAAAACTTTTTAATTTTTTTTCATCTCATTTGACGTGATTTTCAACCAATCCTGGCCGTCCGATCATGGGGCACTGTTACAGCAAGAAGACTACTTCAGTGGCGGTCAACGACGCCGTTTCATCCGCCGTTGAAGACCCAACTCCGGCGAGTGTACAAACGACGCCGTTTCATAGCCCCTTTCCCGCCGGAATCAACCCATCTCCGGCGAGAACTCCGGGAAGGAGAATGATGAAATGGCCCTTTCCGCCTCCATCGCCGGCGAAGCCTATAATGGCGGCGTTTCGGCGGCGGAGGAAGGAGAGTGGTGGGGTTACGCCGGAGAGGACGGCGGAGCAGGAAGGAGAAGGGAGGATGAGAGAGAGAGAGGTAGAGAGAGAAAGAGAAAGGGGTTTAGACAAGAATTTTGGGTATTCCAAGAATTTTGGGGCAAAATATGAATTAGGGAAGGAAGTGGGTCGAGGGCATTTTGGTCATACTTGTTGGGCAAAGGGTAAAAAAGGGGATGTTAAAGGTGTTTCTGTTGCTGTCAAGATCATTTCTAAAGCTAAGGTGCGGTAGTATGTGGCATTTTGGTTTCTTTGATTTTTGAGTTTGAAGGTGAAAGGAGTCAAAGAGGACTATGTTAATGTATTTATGTGTGTATGTGTTGGGGTTTCGAGTTTGCGAGGTTTTTATGTGTGCAAGATTGATCAATTTGAATATTAACATCGGGTTTCTTGTTGGATTATGCTTGATTGTTACATTTTTGTCTGTTTGTACCTGGGGTTGGATTTTGTGGTGGGTGTTTTTGAGTTTTAAATTATGAGATTTGGACTATACTTATGAGTATGTGCTTGATTTGGTTGTTGCTTGTTAAATTGTGTTACTATTTGTTTATTAACTGATGAAATGTGGTGCTTATGTATATATAATTTTATATAAGTATGTTGGATTATGATTGATGGTTTTGTAACATTGTTAAGAAGTCTATTTGGTAAACTTATTTTATTTGGCTGCGAGAGTTTGATTTAGGATCTCTATTTTTGCAGTTAAGTATTCATTTGATTTGAATGAGGTTAGTTTTGGTCCCATACTCCCATATAGTGAGGGGAAGCAGAGATTATCTTGATTTGGGTGTTTTTGAGTTTGGTTCCCAATGCTTCATATGTTGTCTTGTATATCTCGAGTCCATTGGTTGTTTTTGTCATTGTTATTCTCTAAATGCCAAGCTAGTGCAAAATCAGTACAATTTGAGGGTGCATTTTGTTTCGTTGTTTGAGAAGTCTTATATGTCATTCAAAAGCTTTGGTTACATCTGTGTGTGTGTGTGTGTGTGTGTAGCAACTGATATATATTTTGGAAATGCTGGGCTTATATAACGAACTTGGAACATATTATTAATCCAGTGGCAACATCATGATACAGGGATTAGTTTATGTTTTGCCTCTATCTCGAGACTCTTAACCTTCAATGATCTCCATTGATGTTTTTGAGTGGAGCTTTATTGAGTTGTAGGGTATACTTTGTGAAGTAGTAGGTTTCAATATTAGTATTATTTTTCTTAATTTTTTTTTATTTTCTAGTTCTTCTTAGATTTAATGAGTAATAATATATGATACTGATGCCTTTGAGCAGATGACTTCAGCAGTTGCAATTGAAGATGTCCGCAGGGAGGTGAAAATGTTGAAAGCATTGTCTGGCAACGCGCATATGCTCAAATTTTATGATGCATTTGAGGATGCTAACAACGTCTACCTAGTCATGGAGTAAGTGCTTCCTGAATTCTGCACGCTTAATGCATGTTTTGACGTTTGAATTAGTTGCTATTGAATATGCTTTTGGCATTTTTTCTTTTGCATGACACAACATTGTAATGGGAGATTTGCAGATAATTGCAGCTTTCTATAGAATTCATAGAAACGGTGTCTGATTTTAATATGTATTATCTTTTATTTGTCATTCATTATTATCTAAGACACGATCTCCTCTCTTTCAGACATACTGAGGATACAAGTGGCTTGAATAATAAAAAAAGAATCAATATAATTGTATTAGTGCTATAGTTTGGCACTTAGCTATATTCTAGTTTCCTGATCAGTCTTTTGAGTTGTGAAGGAAGTGATAAATTATGACGCGTCTATTTTGACTTGCAGATTGTGTGAAGGTGGTGAGCTATTAGATAGAATTTTGCAAAGGTAAAATTTTAATGCAGTCTAATTAATTCCCAGGGGAGGTTTTGGGGGGGGAGGGGGGTGGGGATTGTATGAGTTTCTAGACTAATTTTCTATAAGCCTCATTTTGTTCGTTTCATGCTCCAGAGGCGGGAGATATGTCGAGGAAGATGCCAAGGGAATTGTAGTGCAAATATTATCCGCCGTTGCATTTTGCCATCTTCAGGGTGTTGTACACCGTGATCTAAAACCAGAGGTATGGAATTGTCATTGTGGCTCTATGCTTTTAGCTAAGGAATTACTTGGAGGTTTGTTAACCAGAGGACCCTATATCTTGGCAGAATTTTCTTTTTGCTACTAAGGAAGATGATGCGCGTTTAAAGGTTATAGATTTTGGTCTTTCTGATTATGTCAGGCCAGGTAAGGGCAGCTTCATCTTTTATTATTTGCAATAACTAATACAAAGTAAATAAGATTTGAAGTTCTACTTTATAACTTTGGCTTAATCAATTTTGGAAAATTTGAAAAGAATCGTTCCCACCTTATGGCCATCAACTTTGAAATATTCCCAAAATAGACTTTAGTCGAAATTAATTGACCTCCCAATCCTTGATTTTACTTTTTAAACTCAGTTCTTTTCCACCCCTCACTCTCATCTACCCCTCACTCTCAACTTTTGGTTTTCCGTGGTGATGAAACTGAACCAGCTGAATGGAAAAATCTTCTGCAACTAAAATAACAATATTTAAATCAACACAAATTAGAAAAAGTTGCAAACTTTTACTATTTTATTCAAGATAAGTGAAAAATAGAATGATGATAATTTAGTGGAAGGTGAGCATATAAGTTTGGGTCATACTATTTGGAAGCACCACCAAAAAAACTAATAATGTCTCTGTGCTTGATTGAAAGATCATTAGATTCATTACTAATAACTGAACTCAAGTGTCCACAAACAAAACTCAGCTGCATTAATAAAGTGAAGGAAGCTATAGTGTGAGTAAAAATGAGAAATCTAAGTCACAATATTAAACAACAAAGAGCCTACTTCCCAAATAATAAAAAAAAAACCCTATTACTATGTTTAATAAAGATACAAATAAACTTGTGCTGCTTACACTAAAAACACCTTCAAATCAGCCTTCTGCCAGTTAATGACTATTGAAACTTTCATACGAGTGTTTCTCAATGAATTCAGAAGCATAGTCTTGCTTGAACTGAATTTAGGAAGTTGCTTATATCGATTCATTGCATCGCAATTTATAGAGCTGCTGATGTCAAAAAAAGAGAAGAAATCACTTTTGCTACCAAAACTTGGCGTCTGAGCTGCTAGGGTGAGAGTGGATTGGTGGTTGCTGGAGAGGGGGCTACAAGTTTTTTTTTTTTGGCTGGGGGAGGTGGTGAGGCTATATTATCCTATTTGGAGATATAAGTTGTTTTCCTTATTCAATGTGGCATAGGTCACCTAGGACCATTTGTGAAGACACCCCCCAAAGTTAGGAATCTAGGAATATTTTTATTTAATAATCAAATGGTGGAATTTATTTATAGCTGATGTCTTAAAGTTGCACCTGAAGTTCAAAAGTTGATATTATTCTTATTTAAAAATTGTTTAATGTTCTTGCTCATGACCCAGCTGCTGTGGCTTAACGTTGATCTGATGTGTTAAATATTTTTAGTGTTCTTACATTGAGGATTGATTCATAGAACTACTTATGATGTGCAGATCACAGGCTTAATGATGTAGTTGGAAGTGCCTATTATGTTGCACCTGAAGTGCTGCATAGATCATATAACAGTGAAGCAGATATGTGGAGCATTGGTGTCATAACGTACATCTTGTTATGTGGAAGCAGACCTTATTATGCACGAACTGAATCAGGAATATTCCGTTCTGTGTTAAGGACTGATCCTAATTTTGATGATATACCTTGGCCCAATATATCAGCAGAGGGAATTTTTTTTGTAAAAAGGCTACTGAACAAGGACCACAGGAAAAGGATGACGGCAGCACAAGCACTAGGTGAGTACTATCTTTTGCTTGGATTTATGTAAATGGTTTATGGCTTCCTTATATCTCATATACCTAGTTACTTTCCTGACATAACCACTGATGACATTGCTTGCAGCTCATCCATGGTTAAGAGATGAAAACAGACCTCTTCCTTTAGATATATTCCCAATCAAGCAAGTAAGGTCATATATGCGGGCCACCCCTCTCAAACGAGCAGCTCTAAAGGTGAGAACCTTTATCTCTGATGTGCACCCACTTTTGTAGGTTTGGCATGTCATTCGCTAAACTAAACTTTGTCCCACATTGGAAGAGAATCCTTAGATTTATAATGACTAGCATTTTGCTCTCATAAATAAAGAGTTGTCAGCAATGTGTCTATTAAACACATCAACTCATTGGAGTGCTGAATTGCTACTCTATCTCAACACGATCAAGGATGCTAATTCTGTGAAACATTTTTTTGTGGTCCCTCAAGATATTGGTAGGCTGTAACAGATGACCGTAGTAGTAATGAATTTGCATGTAAATTTGGAAAGTTTTTCCTATGAGTCAATGACAATGCCCATAATTATAGAGATTAATCTCCCCTTAACATGTACTTCGTATTACTCTGCATAAAATCCATTACCATTCAATAACTATATGCATAATTGCAGGCTCTTTCAACAGCTCTGACAGATAATGAGCTCTTTTACCTCAAAGCACAGTTTAGGCTCCTAGAGCCAAAAGATGGTTGTGTGTCTCTCGAGAATTTTAAAGCGGTAAGTGCAACCCCCACCCTCAAATTTCCAACTGGTCTACTCAGTTAGATGAAAATTCTAATTGAGCTTACTTCTTTTTTCTTATTATTATTTTTTGTTTTAATCATGTCACTAATTTACAGGCCCTCGCGAGAAATGCAACCGATGCCATGAAAGATGCCAGAGTTTCTGATTTTTTGACTATTGTAAGACAGTTTGATATGTCAAAGTTGCCTATTAGCTAATGTTTGATTACTTGATATGTTGACAAACTAATAATATTAATGTGACTTAAGTTACATTTTTTATCATTAATTGCATTAAAACCAAGTAATGTTTTTAGTGCAAGCTTACAATCTGACCCTATTAATGTAGATGGAACCATTTTCATCCAAGAAGATAGATTTTGAAGAGTTTTGTGCAGCGGCAATCAGTGTATATCAGCTTGAGGCTCTTGAAGACTGGGATAAAATTGCTACCATGGCGTTTCAGTATTTTGAGCAGGAAGGTAACCGGAGGATCTCAGTTGAGGACTTTGCAAGGGTACGCACTTAGTTAATCAACTTTCTCCTATTCTTTCTGTGGTTTCAAGTTCTGATCTTTTTTGCACATTATGCATAGGAATTGAACTTGGGCCCGACAGCTCATACTTTAGTCAAGGATTGGATACGAAGCTCTGATGGAAACATTAATTTTATCGGTTACACCAAATTCTTGCACGGTGTTACAATACGTGGCTCCAATACAAGACGACAATAGCTTTTTGAGTAGTCTACTAGCAGGGTATGCAGTTTGTACCATCACAAATGAAATTCTGTCGAATTCTAATACGGTTTTACCGGTTATTTGGAGTGATGGGGTTATGGAAACCCCTTGGCGGGGAGCAATTGAGCTCCCCCACCTCCACCCCTCAATTTTTTCACCCCTGATGTTGTAAATTTTCAATATGGGGGGTTGCATATATGGTGACAACCTTGCAAAATCTTACTGTAAAACATTCAGCTGTTTAATACAGCCTGTATATTAGTTGTTGCTGCATAGAAGATTAGAATCTGATGCTTGAAGGCTTTCTGAAATACTCAGAATGTTTCATACTTAAATTAGCTTTTGTAGTCCCCTCTTGTACGCAGGAATTCTTCGCTTTCAGCAGATGATGATTGTATGAGAAGCTCCCTCCAATGTTAATGTTACTTGGCCTGTCTGGCTGTATCAGTTTATGCTGAAGTTCAATTGTTCAGCGGCTTCTACTAATGGAGTTGATAACCATGTAGGGCCTTGAACGAATTTCCCGAGCACAACAATGTTAAGGATCTATTGAACATTGTAGGTAAAACTCTAAAATGTACAATCTCCAAAAAAAAAATGACTTCCTTTGATTTTTATTTTTTCAAGTGGCCCACTTTCCAAAAGCAGCCGTTTAAGTGCTCTATTTTCAAATTTAGAAATCTCACTAATCCCTTAATCCGTATTAGTTCAAAGGGTGAATCAGGTAGAACACCGAAAAAAAAAAAATCTCACTTACATTATATATTTTTTCTCTTTTTCTTTTGACCCTACTATCATTTTATAATACTACATCTGTTAATTTTTAGTTGCAATAAAGGAGTATCATTTGTGAGACATAAAAAATTCCTTTGTTGCAACTAAAAATTAACGGAGGTAGTATTTCTCCCTCTCACATTAAACCTCATGGTCCTCCATTCATATTTCTCTTTCTTAATTTTCCAAAAGTTTTAATCCTAGTCATACTCTACTTATATACTTTCTCTGTTTCTATTTGTTTGTCCCACAAACAAAATGTGCTTTATTAAGAATTGAACCAAAAAATAGCAAGTGGAGGAGGGTGTATTTGTCTTTTCACTTTTATGAGCGTATACAAGTAAAGATGGCTCAGGCCGGCCCGAGCACCCGGCATGGCACGGACATGAAAAAAGCACGACATGGTCGTAGGCCAGGCTTGGGCCGCCTTTTTTTGGGAGAAGTACGATAAGGCACTGCACGGTCGGGCCCGACACGACAAAGCATGGTAAAATCTGCAATTTTGCTTAGGCACACAAGCCCGACACGATGGCACGTGGGTCTGGACCGAGCACGAGCCAACCTTTTGAAAATTTCGGCCCGGCACAAAACTCGTGGGCTGAGCCATGAGCCGGGCCTAACTAACCCAAAGCACGTGGGCCTGGCACGGGGCACAACCCGTCACAGCCTAGAGCCATCTTTATATACAAGTGGGTTTAATGGTAGGGGCATGTTTATATTAGGAAAAGGGGCAATCTTTAAGGGACATCCCAAAATGGAATATGGGGCAAACAAATAGGGATAGAGGGAGTATTAGTTTACTCTTTCGCCTAAAACTCTGCGCCTACCCCAATTACTTAGGTCGTGTTCTGTACCACTTTTAAATACTTAGGCTGTGTTTTCTTAAAGACAATACAATTTTCTCAACATGAGAAACATTGCAATTTTCGTCCTTTTGGTCCAACATACCTACTGTTCTCTCCCCTCAACAATGGAGTTTGAAAATTATAATAATGGAGGGAACACTCTCAAACAATGACAAACACCTACCATTCGAGGTTAACCATGCCATTAAATTACACTTTCTCCGTTTTCATTTACTCCATTCGTTCTTAAATATTCGCAACACTAGATGTTGCATCAAGTTTTAGGAAAAGTATATTAATGCATTTATATATCCTATTTATTTTTGTGTGACAGTAATTTTTTTTCCTTTACAGAACTTAATAAACTAGCCTAACAAAGTGGTTGGGCATTATTAATTTGGATAGGAGGAAATTATTAATATAAAATGTATTTTGAAAAAAAATATTTTTTAAATAAAAATATAAAAATAAAAATAATATAATAATGAATATGGACGGAATATTCATTAATTAAGATGCCTTCTCCGATGGTCGGTGTATCATTTTGCACATATAGTACAAAAGGTTATACTGCTGATAGCAAATTGTTAAGGTTGTATTATTTTGCACACACCGTTAATAGTTGAAATTTTTTTAAGCCAATTTTCCAATTATTTTAATGAAGGATATATTTAATTGTTAGTAGATAATATAAATAATAAAAAAAAGTAGTGCAGATAGGGTTAGTAGGAGAGATAATAAAATAGTCGTGAGTCTTTACTAAATAAATTAGTAAAAAGAAAGTGGAGTACCACGTCACTAACTTTTGGCAAATAAATTATCTAAATTACTCTCATAAAGTGCATGTGAGGGACATATTTTGAGTAATATAGTAAACCATGTACACAATTTCTAGGAGTATATTTTTCTTATGGTTTTCGTTAAATTTGATGGCGGAGTCGCCAGAGAGGGTGGTGTTGGGGTTTGTTATGGTGTTACGCATGGTGTTTGTTATGGTATTAGGGTTCATCCGCCATTGATGATGAGAAAGGTTGAAGAAGTAGAGAAACAAAAACGGGATGATGACGAAGATAGAAGGAGATAGTGGAAGAAGGTGAGTCAGCAGAAAAAACAATAGAATATTAAAAAGTTGATAAATAAAAATGTTTCTCGTATTGAGAAATATAAATGCAAGTATGAGACATAAATGCAAATCCGTTCTATTCTATCTGAACTTGAAATACTACTAAGTACTTGTATATACTAAAAAAAATGCTAGATTATCTTCCAAAGATTATAGTGTGCCAAATTACCAAACCATCATACAGATACCAAACAAGCTCCAAACTTTAAGATAGATCCTTTGTACCCTTAGAGCAGAGTGAAGCAGAAGCTCTGATGGAAACATTAATTTTATGGGTTACACCAAATTCTTTTTGAGTAGTCTACTAGCAGGGCATGCATTTTGTACCATCACAATTCACAAATGAAATTCCTTTTGAATTCTAGTACTGGATTATCGGTGATTTGGAGTGGTGGCGTTATGAAAACCCCTTGGTGGGGGAGCAATCGAGCTCCCCCACCTCCACCCCCCAAATTTTTGTAAATTTTCAATATGGGGGTTGCATATATATTGACAACCTTGGAAAATCTGACTGTAAAACATTCAGCTGTTTAATACAGCCTGTATATTAGTTGCAGCATAGCAGATATAGAATCTGATGCTTAAAGGCTTTCTGAAAAACTCAGAATGTTTCCTACCTTGAATTAACTTTTGTAGTCCCTCTTGTACGCAGGAATTCTTCGCTTTCAGCAAATGATGATTGTATGAGAAGGCGGTACAATGTTAATGTTACTTGGTCTGTATGGCTGCATCAGTTTTTGCTGGTGTTCAATTGTTCAGTGGCTTCTGCTAACGGAAGAGAAGCTGCTTCATTGTCAATGTTACTTGGCCTGTATGGCTGTATCAGTTTATGCTGATGTTCAATTGTTCAGTGGCTTTTGCTAACGGATTTGATACCAATGTAGGGCCTTGGACAAATTTCGCGAGGCCAACAATGTTAAGGATCTATTGAACATCATAGGCAAAACTTGTAAAAATGTATCACTTTGGCCGTTTTTAATACTTAAAGCTGTACTTAAGCTACGTTCTCTTCGACTCGAACTTGATAAATATACCAAAAATTGCTAGATTATCTTCCAAAGATTTATAGTATGCCAATCCATCGGACAAACACCAAACAAGATCAATTAGTGGGCTTTTGTGGTTTGGGGCTTTACACCCAACATAGGTGGTCATACTTATGTGAACTTATATGAAGCCCAAGTTAATTTTTTTTTTATTTTTTTTGAAGAATATGAAGCCCAAGTTATTTAATTATCCTACCGTGTGAAATTTCAAATTTGATAATATAAAAGTCGTATTACATATCTTTTTTTTTTCTATTATTTATTTATTTTTTTAATTTATTTTTTATTTTTAAAAAAAAGTTGTATACAATTAAGGCTCACAATTAATATTAAATGGGTACATCAAACTTTAAGGTATCTCTACTTAATATAGACATCTTCAATAGACATGATAGTAATGTCTTTGCACTAGCTCCACTTGTTATCATTAGCCATCTTCCAACTTGAGTAAGAGTCATCAAACCCCAATTTCATTGGGTATCTAACGATAAAGTCCAAATTTTATCCTAAGTGAAGTCGAATAGACTATTAAAACAAAAACACTTAAAGCATACCATATTAAATCCAAAATTACGAGAAGTAAAACGACAATTACTTTTAGACGGGGATAGCTAGTATTTAATCTTACATGTGACTTCGTCACTCTTTTAAAAAATTCAAAGAGTGACAAATGCAAGTAGACTTGTCAATTTGGGTTAACTGGTTGGATTCGAGTTAGATTTTGGGTCATACTAAAAAACTATCTCAAATAGTGTCAAAACATAATGTCATTACAAAATTCAATAAATGGGTCAAATTGAGTGAGATTCGGGTTCAGGTTCTCTTTTAGTAACTTTAGGTTCAGGGTCGAGTCAAGTTAGGAATTGACGGCTTTAATCGCTAAATGCTAGTAGGCCTAGTACATGACAATTAAGTGGTAGTTATAGGGCCCATTTGGTGTTGGAAGTCAAGCCAGATTGACATAGGTAGGGACTTGGCTAACGATTATGCCTTGTTTGTGCAAGTTTTTCAATAGACAGATTATCTACTCATTATTTCTCCAGAAATTTCTTTTTCTATTCAAATATTATACAACTATAGAAGCATATATGCTTTTCTCTAGTTGGCCAACATGCATATGTGTTCTTGTTTATCTTTGTTCCTCTAAGACTGATCTAGTTCTTGTTGTTTTATCATTTCGTCCATTATTGATAACGTCGAAAAACTTTGTGAGATTTTTGGATATGTGCAATAAACAAGTGTTGGGTTTTATTTCTTTAGTTTTTTGTTTGTGTTGTGTGTATCAGTGTATGTTCATGCGCCCGCGCATGATTTTGTAATATGTAAGTTTTTGTGACCTTTATGCGAATTATGACTCTTAAGATCATGGTTATATATTAATATAATGTTAGGTTCTATCAGATCATGCATCACCCTATGTTTCGGGTGAAAATAATGGGACCTTGCCGAAGGTCCGATGAAACGGAGAAGACTAGATTCGGTCCAAGTAATGTTGGGCCGAAGGTTTCCTGCACAGTAAACACACGTAAACTAGCCTCGGGGGTGTTGCCGAGGAAGGCCCCTCCGATGCTAAAGTCAGT